TTTTTCAACTCAAGTAGTGACTATGTGGGAATTTGCTTTATAATAATTCAGCATATTTTACATATATGCTTTATACACTTTTTGTAAATGTAGTGTATTTCTCAGTTTGAAAAAGAGAGAAAATCCCAAAGGAATGGAAAGCATTCTCCCACCTCTGTCTGGTAGCCACTTGGTTCCCTTCTCCAAGGGCAGTCAATATGAACTGATTCTTTTGTATATTTTTATTTTATTGCATGTGATTCTTTTTGCATAGACATATGTTTTCCTTTTGGTTTTACACAAATGTAAACTAACTACCTTACGTTTTCTTCTTTTCTTTTAACTTAAAATTATGTCCTAAGAGATTATTCCATAGTGGCACATAAAGTGTTCTTAATTATGTTTTTAACAGGTATATAGAATTCCATTGTATGGATATACCATTATTTATTTAACTAGTCCCCTAGTAATAGAAATTTGGGTTGTTTGCAATTTTTGTTTTGCCATTTCAAGGCTTGCTTCAAATGCTAATATTCTGTATACATCACTGTATCCAAATGCAAATAAATATGTGTTTATTTGCAGTGTTTTTCTTCATGCCTTCTGGTATTTGTACTGACAAATTTGAGGACTTATACATTTACCTAATTGGAGTTCAATTCCATAAATCAAGTCAGGTTATATTCACTAGTGCCTACTGTGTACCTGGCACTGTCTTAAAAAAATATGTGGGATAGAAATAAATATCAGACATGGATCTTGTCTTCCATTAGCCAATAATTTTGCTTTCATGTTGGAATCCTGGTATTTCCAACATGGTTTTAAGGCTTTTATCTCTGCCAAAGAGAAACAATGTCTCCCAACTGAATCTCCCTGGGAGGGCTTCTATGTGCTTTGGAAACCAGAAAGAGTATTCCTAGTAGCAAACAGCCACAGCTTGGTGTCTAGCAGGAGCCCTAGGGAAAAGCACAGAAGAGTTAGCTCCACCACCAAAGCATTTTTCACACTACTCCATGTGTACAAATCTTCTCACCTTAGCTCATAAGCATCTCTTCCATAAATATGTCCTAAATCCCTCCAATTTAAGGCTAACACTTCTTCCTCTGTGACCTCTCATAGCATGGTTTCTGTGTCCCACATAAGGTACGAATCATTTTTTCCCTTAACTTATACTTTTTAAAAATATATCTTATTTCCTACACTTGGCCATCTGGGGACTAAGATTCATCTCCAATTCTTTACAGCCTCTGCAAACTAAAAGGAATAGGAAGAGAATCAGTATGTATAGGTGGTAATGTGGGACATCATGGAGATAGAGAGGTCCAGGCTCACTCATGTCTCAGCATCTTCATCTCTTTTTTTTTAAAGTTTTTATTTATTTATTTATTTATTTATTTATTTATTTATTTATTCATGAGAGACACAGAGGGAGATTGAGAGGCACAGACACAGGCAGAGGGAGAAGCAGGCTCCATGCAGGGAGCCCGACGTGGGACTTGATCCCAGGTCTCCAAGATCACACCCTGGGCTTAAGGCAGTGCTAAACCGCTGAGCCACCAAGGCTGCCCATGCATCTTTGTCTCTTAAATAGGATCATAATTCTGGCTTAGCCAGCCTTGCCAAGTTGCATTGAGGATCAAGAAAGACAATACAACAGGCTACAAAACATTCTCTACAAATACAAGGAATGCTAGTGTTTTGATGTTTGACAACTCTTAATCATTAATGTCTTACAGGTTAGCAAACCAAGGTCTAGAGAGGTAAAATGACTTGATGTCACAGTCAGTGGCAAAGTCTGAAAACAACAGAGGATAGTCAAGGTAGGACCAGAAGGAGTCTATTCCTTCTCTGCCTGCATGGGGATTAGATCTGAATTCTCTGACTCTTGTGTTTGTTTTATTTTTGTTTTGTAATAACCTGACATCAGGGCAGTAGAGAAATAAGAAGGAAGGAAGTTAACCTGTAGAGGTTAACCTCAAAAGAGACAAAGAGGTAGCTCACAAAAGAAGAAATACAACTGGTCACTAACAATGTAGGGAAAAGATTAAGCATCTTTAGTAATTAAGGAAGTACAGAGTACTCCTCAAGATGCCATCTTCTCTTATAAAATTGGCAAAGATACTTTAGAAATAAGAATACTCACTGTTGGCAAGTGTGCCAGGAAACTGGCACTCTCATACATTGCTGGTGTTAATATAAAGTGATCTAACTATTTTTTCTATGGCGATTTAGAAATGTGCATCACAAGCCTGAAACTTTGGTCCAGGAATTCTCCCTTCTAGGAAATTATCAAAAGAATCACAAATATGCACAGGGCTGTTCATTGCAGTGTGACTTATGTCTGCTTGTTAAAATTATGGTATATCCATTCAATTGAATAGTATACAACAATGATTACAGCTAGCATTTATTGAGCAGTATACTATTGCCAGACACTGTGCTAAGTTATTTAAATACATTATTAATTTTGGTAATTAGAATAATTCTCGAAGGCAGTATCATTGTCATTTCCATTTTGCAGATGAGAATACTGAAGCTCAGAGAGGTTAACTAATCCCAGGCTGCACTGCTATTAAGATGAATAATGTGGATCTGACTCTAGATCTATATGATACCAAAGCCTGTGCCTCACCCATAGTGCTCTATCACCTTTGCAGCCATTAGAAATCATGTTTTAGAGGAATAGTTAGTGACATTCTAAAATGATCATGATATAAATGGCAAATGAAAAAAGCATAATATAAAATGATATATATCATATAATGACAAGTGGATATGTATGGATTTTTTTTCATAGAAAACTACTGTAAGGCTTCTCACCTATTAGTAATATTCTGGGTGGTAGTATTATAGGTTATTTTAATTTTCATCCTTGTGATTTTTTGTGTTTGCCAGTTTTTCTATAAAGAACATACAATACTTGTGTAATCTTCAAAAATAAAAATGTTAATATAAAAAGTTCTGACGGCAAGTCTTTTGTAGCCTTCATGCTTATAACACATCTATAGTAATACTTTTTAAATCTGAGTTACTAATTATTTTATGTTGGTGTCAGATAAGAGAGCCATCTTTTCAACCATTCTTTGGAGAATCTCTTCAAGCATGAGGAGCTATGTAGCTGTGTAATCTTTAGAGACTTTGAGTACAATAAAGTGTTCTTCAGACCATAAACTCTTGCATCTCTATGATCTGTAACAGTCCCCAATTTTGGACCAGGGACCCCTGAGGAGGAAGGAAGAATACTCGATGCAAGAACTCCACAGATCTTTAAATGTATGAGTGTTTTTTTTTTCTCACTCTGTAAGTACTAAAAGTACAGCTACTATTGTAGGTATGAGTGGGTGAAGTGAGATTCTTTTTTTTAATCTTAAGAAGGGGCCCTTATACCTAAAATGTCAGGAACCACTGAAATAGAGAATAAAAATGATGGCTCTTTAATCATCAACATAAGGAGTTACAGGTAGTCACTCCCTGCCCTTTGGATCAGGGTTTGCGTGTCTTTGCCCAACACTGAAAGATAGCACTTTTAGCATTTGCAAGCATTGTCTTTGTTACCCATTCTCATTACACTTGTGTACATTCACTAAACTGTCCACTGATTTGTGCACCTAACTTTTTCATTCATATCTTCCTTTTCGCAGCTCATCTAAAGCTGAATATGTCTCAAGCATAGGTTATTATGGAACACTGCCCTCACTCCCTACCACACCAAATTTGCTCCTTCTCCTGTCTTCCCTCTTTTGCTGTTGGCAACATATTCCACCCAGCTCCCAAATTAGAAACTTTTCACTCCTTCACCTCCTTCACCCTTCACATCCAATTGATCACTGAGCTCAATGTATTTTACCTCTTCAGTAAGTATCTCATTCTATGCACTCTACTCCCTCCTCACTGCAACTGCTTGCCAATTATAACAGCTTCTCAATAGGTTCTTCCCCAGGGAGAATCACTCCACAAAAGCAGCCAGAGGGCTCTTTCTGCAATTCTGGTCGAGTCACTCCCCTGCTTAAAATCCTCAGTGCCTCCCAATTGTCTACAAGATAAAGCTCAGAATTCTCTGCTTGTCATTCAAGGCATGACCCAATCTGGCCACAGCCTCATTTTTCAGCCTAGTCTACTGCTTCCTACAGGACACCTGCCTTGTACTCTGGTCACACCATACATTTCATTTTGTGCTGTTTGAAATTATTATTTGGTTTTATCTCCCACACCTAAAGACAATCTTGATTTCTCTTTCATAGCTCACCTCAAGTGTATTTCCTCTAGGGAGGCTTTTCCTGACATGACCAGGTAGAACTCAACTCATCTATCCCTTCACTCCATCCCATAAATACTTCTATTATTAATACAAATAGCACGTTGTGGCTTGATTTTTCCCATGCCTGTTCTTTCTATATGAGAACTCCTCGGGGGCAGGCACCATGTCTTTTTCATCTCTGTGCCTCCTAAATTCTAGCTGAATGGAGCTTACTGTGCTCTGGACATGCTATGCCTTTTTTGGTGGCATCCACTTTTGCATAGGTGGGTTCCTCTGCTGGGAACACCCTTCTCTGCTAGGCAAACATCTACTTGTCCTTTGAGATCCATCTCAAATGCAGTCTCCCTGAAATCTTTGCACATTCTCGACTTAGTTGTTGCCCAGTCTGTGCTCCCGTAGCCTTCTGGTCAAATCTCAATTATAGTGCTTGCCACATAAGCATTTTACTATAGTTATGAGCTTATATGACTGCCTCCCCCCACCCCGATCTCCCCTACCCTCTTGTCTAGGTTGTGAGATCTTAGACAGAAAATCACCTTTGTGTCTGTAGCACAAAGCACAATAGATAAACAATAAATACTATTTTGGTCTATGATTTAATAAAGTCTCTTACGGTAGATGGCAGCCTGGGAAAAACTACTGGGTAGACCAGTAAGCATTGACTACTTATTTACATAATTGGCAAAGGCACCTTTGAGTAAGTGTTGGGTTCATAGGCCTTTTCTAGGTCTTGACTCTTAACCTCTCCTTGTTACTTTTCCAGGTGCTTATGGTCAACAGTCGGTGCACTGCCCATTCTCACCCTCCATGAGCCTTGGTTCTGATGCAACCTATGGTCATGCAGGGATGCCCTTACACCCTCCCACGATGTCATGAATGGCGGGCAGCTGACCAGTTCCATCACAGCAGCAGCCTCCGAAGCACTTGCCCCCAGCCTCAGGTAAGAGGCTGATAGCAAGACAACGTCCTGTGGAAAAAGTGTGAACACAGGATCTGTGTGTGTTCTTGTGGGTGTCCATGCTTCCTAAAATTCTGGGGGACTCTATATACACGAAACCCTTTGGAGGCCACGGGACCTCCTTCTGGCTCATCCCTTGTCACTCATGAAGCCTTTTATAGGGGGCATGGGGCAAGGAAATGTGTTGGCCTGGGTAGGGCCCATGTGGCTGAGGGGGATAAGTTCCATATTAACTTCTTAAGAGAGATCCCAGAAGAGTGACCTTTTGGAGTATGACCTAGGACAAGGTGGGACCTTCCTTTGCCTTAACTTCTTTATGGCATACTTTATAGTCTGAACCTGTGGAATACTCGTTCTCCTTCCATTGGCTCTTCCTCTCAGGTCTTTAGTCTTATAGCTCCTGGCTCAGCCCCACTAAGAATCCCTCCAGCTTCACGCCTGTCTCTCCTTTCCTCTCTCCTCCCTAAGAATAGAATGGTGGTGTTGTCTGTCCCTGCTTATGTATGTTGGTAGGTGGGCAGACTATGTACAAGAGACAGTAATCCCGAGAAAGTAGTCCCCTTTACTGACAATGAGGGAGGTCCATGAGAAAGTTAACTGGACAAGGGGGACTTAACATAAACACATTTTGGCTTGTCCTACAATGCTTTGAGGTCCAGGGGCCATGAGGATGTGAAAAAGTACTGTGTCTCTTAGTATCTCACAGATGGGCTGTGGTGCTGAGTCACTGCTGAGGGTACAGACAGCAGCAGAATATACAGGGAACAGGAAGGGAGGGAGAGCAGCAGCAGGGATTAAGAATGTGGATGCTGGGGAGTCCATTTTGCAGAGAATAATGAGGGAAAAGTCTGGAGAGGCATAACATCCAGCTCTTCCTGAGCGGTCTTCCCACATCTAACCAGAGAGAAATTGCAGCCTCTAACATATCCTCAAGCCAGGTCAGCTTAGTGTACCTACCCCTTCCCCAGAGTGGGACTTACATAGGGTCAAGGGATTGAGAAGCTTGGGCCCTTCCAAAACGCTTGCCCTGTACACTGTCCACCCCCTCCAAGCTTCACCACCTAGGCAGAGAGACCTGAGGGCTTCATTTGGTGATTGAGAATGGGAAGACTAACCCCTTTCCTCTACCACTGTCCAGTTTCTTCTCTTTCTTCCCTATGGCACTTTGTCTTAAAGTTTCAAGAGATAAGGAGAGAGCCCCCTGGGGATTGTGGTGAGAAGCAAACATCTTGGCCACAAAAGCCAGAAGTAGAAGGCCATTGGTAGGGAACAAAAAATGTTATTCATCATCTGCCTAGTGTGTACCTGGCTCTGCTAGGGGCACTTGTGAATATAAGGGGGAACCAAGAGGGGAGTCCGAGTGATGGTGTATAATAAGGGAACCAAGTGGGGATTTGGGAAACTAAGAAGTCTGAAGGGAATGAAAGCCTCATATGGGTGGAGCCCAGTTCTTCGGAAACACTTCTCTCAGAACCAGGACCACTTGGTTGTAGCTGGGTCACAAGGAGCCATTTCTAATTCTGGGGCATTCCGAGTCTGGGGGACTCTGGGAGACTTGCTTGAGCCCAGTCATCCCACTATAAGCAAAGCTTTGACCCAGAGCTAGAACCACTCCCTCCTCTTGGCCTGCCATCCCCTGCCATCCCCAATCCACCAAGAATAGCTCCACCTCAGACCCCCAGAAAGGGTCAGGCAGCTGCTCCAGCTATTCCTGTAGGTGGGCCTCAGCATGGAAACAATGTGGAACTGTGGAAAGCCCAGAAGACTCTGTGGGAGATAAACGAGGATGGGAACAGAACCCTTTTTGGTAAAAATGAAGTGTTTTCCCTCAGTGCTGAGGGGTGGGGGCCTAGCTTGGGAATGTTAACCTTTACCCCAGGCAAGTCGGCTGGAGGAAGAGTGGCCACTTCCAGAAGGGGCCCTGCCCCTCAAACCAGTGGCCCAGGGAAGCACAAGCAGAAGACAGGAGCCTTGCTGGCACTGGATCCCTGCACAGAACAGCTGGGTTCCATTTTGCCCTCTCCTTCCCCTAAGGAAGTCCAGGAGGATGTCCACAGACCCATTTCTTTCCCCCTAGACTTAGAGTGCTGCGAGAGGTCTGGGGGATGGATAATGACTCTCCCTCCATTTCTCTCTGTCTCCCCAAGGCAGGGCAGAGCACCCCCTTGTTTTCACGGTGGGCTTAGATGAATCTTCTGCTGTCCAACTTCCTGATCCTGCCTTCCCATGGCTCCATCCCCAGGTGTGCCACACACATTGCTCACTGCCTCTGAGCACACTTAATTAGTTAAAGACTAAGGCTTATTTCTAAGTCCAGCCTCCTGCCAGGCTTTGGGGAAATAGCTTACCAGAAGTTTGTCACCAAAGTGGTCTGATCCTTTCTCCTAACTCAGGGGAGGCCGAGGGGGGCTGGAGGCAGAGTCCTTTGGGTCTTCCATGGAAAGGGAAAACAGATCAAGGGAAACTACCCTCTGCATGCCCCTTCTCAACACCGTGGAATGCCCAATCCCACTCCCGCCATCCTTGGCAGCCTGGGAGGGCCTTCCTGGCCCCGGTGTGGCAGGCTGGAAGCGAGCTGGAATTCCCCAGGGACAAAGCTCTGATTCACCAGCTGAGCCCTGACATAGCCGCCCCCTCCAGATTCCTGGGGGGTCAGTAAACAAACAGGGTGACAGCTCCCGCCTCCTGACCTGGCTCAGCTCTGCTGGCCCTCCCTGAGGGAGCCTGCTTAGAGCCTGTCAGGACTCTGCCTGAGGTTTACCAGGCACTGATTCTGGATGCGAGCTGAGGGATAATCATGGAGCTGCCTAATCCTACAGTGGAGTCCCCAGGTAGCACAGGTATGATCAGCTCTTGGGGACACAGGGTAATTGAATTCAGAACTTTGCCCCTGAGCTTGGTTGCTCCCTTACTTCCCTTTCAGTATGTGGATGTGAGCTGTGGTTTTTTGTTTTGTTTTGTTTTGTTTAGCTGTGGTTTTAATGGGATGATTGGTTTCCTAAATTGCCTGGAGAGTCTTAAGTGGGAAGGAAACGTGGTTTTGGGAGAAAGGGAAACTAGAGGAGTCTCAGCCACCACCAAAACCATGTTCTTTCTACAAAAGGCAAACAAGTAGACAGATAGGCAGGTGGGTTTCCCCAGGCTGGGATTGAGCAGCATGGGCTCAGTTTTCCTCCTCCAAACTCTTCTTCCCTCTGACCCCTTCTGCCCCTGGCTGGGCAGTCCCGGCATTGTGCTAGAGGTAGGGAACTTCTTAAGGGCTATTTGGCACAACCCTCATTCCCCCCAAGCCTTGTAATACCCTTTAGGGTGAACAAGTGATGGGCTCTGAACTTGAGTGCTCAAGGTGAGCCTCTGGCAGGCTCTAAGGCTGTTCTTCTTGGCAGCTGACTCTGGTCAGAGTCTTTTGGAGATCAGGATCAAAAATGTGGCTTTAGCTCTTTCTCAACCCCTGGAAGATGAACAGTGGCCTTTAGGACTATTTCTAGGCTTCCTGATTGGTAGAAAATGCAGGTGGGGGAAGAGGGAGTGAGGACACCAAAGCCTAGATTCATTTGGGAAGTAGGACATCTATTACTGATAGGTCTCTCTGGCTGGTCTACTCTCTCTCCCTGAATCTTTGAGGAAGCCCCTCAGCTTTCTTTTCTAGAAGGTTGGGTAAACTGTGAGACACTGAAATGTGAGCCTACAGCTTACCTTGAAGGCTGTGGTTGCCAGTGTTTGGGTAATTCTGAGCAGATCTTTATCTAAAGCAAATACTCTACTCCCAGAATCCCATCTGGGCAGTAAGTAGTCTTGGCAGAATTTACAGTAGTAAGAGTAATAATGATAGTAGTTAGCAGTTAAAAGTGACTAACCTGTACCAAGAGAGGACCTTGCAGTGAGCCATGAAGTCTTCCTTTATCTCACTCGTCCCCTGCACCACCCCCCAACACACCCTGGGACAAGCCCTTCTCTCCCCTTGTTCACATTTGTTCCATTCTTGGCTTGGTGCAGAGCAGAGTGTGGCACACTCTGGGGATCACAGGATATCTGTGTTTCTGTCCAGGTTAGAGCTGCTGCTACTGCCCCTGCGCCTCCTCAGGATGGTGCTGGGGTTTCCTGCCTAAGCCCAAAGCTCTTCAACGGGTCAGTTGGTGCCGCTGGACCCCTAGAACCACCAGCCATGAATCTGTGTTGGAATGAAATCAAAAAGAAGTCTCACAACCTCCGGTAAGGCCCGGCCCCTAGAAACAGGGGTCTTAGGCAATTGGCTGGGACAGTGTGGGGCTCCTTTTGCTGCTGCGACTTGTCATTCTCTCAGCCTGTGTGTCACCCTCTCATCAGCCTCATCATCCACTTCTCCCTTTCCTTCTCTGGACTTTGGAAAGGACCCTGAGTCAGAATTTGGGAGACTTGGATTTGAGCCTCAGTTTTTTTTTATAAATTTATTTTTTATTGGTGTTCAATTTGCCAACATATAGAATAACACCCAGTGCTCATCCCATCAAGTGCCCCCTTCAGTGCCCATCTCCCAGTCACCCCCACCCCCCGCCCACCTCCCCTTCCACCACCCCTAGTTCATTTCCCAGAGTTAGGAGTCTCTCATGTTTTGTCTCCCTTTCTGATATTTCCCACTCATTTTTTCTCCTTTCCCCTTTATTACCTTTCACTATTTTATATTCCCCAAATGAATGAGACCATTGAGCCTCAATTTTAAGTAGTTGTGTCACCTTGGATATGTGGCTTGAGTTATCTGGATTTCACTTGTTTTTTTAAACCATAAAAAAAAAGAGTGAAGAAACTGTCCTAACTCCCTCACAATGTTGTTTTGAGGATTGTTATAAGATATGAAAATGCTTTCTGAACCTAAAAGCACTGATGTATAAATGAAGGATACGATTGCTCCCTCCTCCTCTTCCTCTCATAATTGTCCTCTGTCTCCATCTCAGTAGATCTTATCTGCTCTCTTTCCTGTCCTTTTATGTCTTCTACTCTCATCCATTGGTTATCAGCACACCTATTCCTCCTCAGGCTAAGGGCAAATCAGTAAGAGCATTGAAGGCAATTCTGGTATCAATTGTCCCTCTTCTCCCTACCCCTCTATGTAACCTACCCCCATACTTTTCCTCTCCAATCCCTATTATCAAAGCCCAAACGCCTGCCTTTTGGTAGGCTTTGCCTAGAATGAGGTGGCATAGAGAAGTTGAAAAGAATGCAGGCTCTGGAGTAAATCACCCTGCGTTCAAATCCTAACTCGACCAGTGATTTCAACTTTGTGACCTTGGGCAGATTACTTAACCTCCCTAGGCAATAGTAGTACCTACCTCATAAGGTTGCTGCTCTGAGAATTAATGGAAGCAATAATTTAGGTCAGGGCTTAGCCCCAGTGGTAGGGAGGCAATGAAGAGTTATTATTGTCAGCGAAGGGAAATGGGCTTGATGTCTATAGCTAGGCTGGCCTCCAACTTGCTACCACTTACTTGGTCCTCAGCTCATGTTTCATTTGTGGAGGGAGGCATACAGAGGTGATTATAGTATGTGCATTTTTCTCCATCCATATGTCAAATCTCTAGCCTGCAGTGCTGTCATCCTTTGAGACCCTTGGGTTGCATATACTTCTATGTGTCCTCACACATGTGAGTGCCCACATTCATTCACCTGGCTTACCCTTTCTACTTACTGTATCCTTTCCTGCTCAGAGGGTAGCTCTGAGAAGCTTCGTTGATGAGTAATTCGGCATGATTGGAATTCCTCCAGGGCGAGAGGGCAACCTGACGGCTGTCACCCTAATGCCCTTGCTCAGTTTCCTCCCCTTTCCTGGCCTGATGCTGGGCATGCAGCTGAATAAACAGTGTGCACACTGACACTCCCCATCCATGTACTCACTCATTGGTTTTAGTACTGCACTCCATGTGAAGGTACCTTGGAAGCCTCGGTGGGTGGGTTAGAGGGAGGGCTCTGGGCCTCCTCCTAATTCAACCAGAGCAGCTCCTCTTGAATCTGTTTCATGTATTAAAGTTCCACATAAATATTTGGGGAAAAACATTTTGCCACTTAAAAAAAAAAGATTGAAAATCACTGGTCTTATGCATTGTGTGCAGCGCTCGCCTAGAAGCCTTCTCAGACCATAGTGGAAAGCTTCAGCTCCCTCTGCAAGAGATTATTGACTGGCTCAGCCAAAAGGATGAGGAACTGTCAGCTCAGCTGCCCTTGCAAGGGGATGTGGCCCTGGTACAACAGGAGAAGGAGACACATGCAGTAGGTTTGAATTATGGGGGCTGTGGTGTGTAACCTCGTAGCTGGGAAGGGATCTTTTTTGCAGTATTCTGACAGATGGGCACTTAGCCTCTGCTTAGACACCTGAAGTAACAGGAGGCTGGATACAGTTTTACTGGTTTTTGTATAACACTCCACCAGAGTCAGTCAAACCTTTTCTCTTTTGCCCTTTCATCAGAAATTGGCTTCCCTTAAAATCCTGCCCTGATTTTCAGTGGGGACATGGGAAAATGAACATAATATACTGTTAAGTGGAAAAAACATAGGCTACAAAGCTTACGCAGGTGGACCTCAGTTGTACCAAAATCTATGTAGATGTGTGTGCATGTATACACACATACAAAAACATAAGAAGGAACTATATCAAAAAGTTCACAATGGTTAACTCTAGGTAATGAAATTAGAGTTCTTTTTAGTTGTCTTCTTCATGCTTTTCTGAGATTTCTAAGATTTCTGTGACATATATTACCTTTTATAATCAGAAACTAACAACAGATATTTCTTTTTTTAAAGATTTTATTTATTTATTTGAGAGAGAGAGAGAAAGAGAGAGAAAGCACAAGTAGGAGGCAGGGACAGGGAGAAGCAGACTCCCTACTGAGCAGGGAGCCTGATGCAGGACCAAAATAATGACCTGAGTGGAAGGCAGATGGTTAACCAACTAAGCCACCCAGAAGCCCCCATATATTCCTTTTTTTTAAGATTTTATCCATCCAATTGAGGGAGAAAGAGAGAGAACAAGCAGGGGGGAGAGGCAGAGGGGAGAAGGAAAAGCAGACTCCCTCCATGCTGAGCAGGGAGCCCAATGCAGGATTCGATCCATCACAACCAGAGCCAAAGGCAGAAGCTTAACTGACTGAGCCACCCAGGCTTCCACCTCCACCCCCAGATATTTCTTAAAAATGAATACAGTATGTACTAGAAGAAATAATTGTGTGACATAGCAGAGGTGTACCTAAGGTGACAATGGCAATCATATTGCAATATAAATGTATCAAATCAACATGTTATATACCTTAAATTTATACAATCTTATATGTCAATTATATTTCAATTTAAAAGGTGGATACAGAATGGAATACAGTACAGCAAGAAAATAAACTATAGCTACATGCCACAGCCCAGATGACTCTTAAAAACAGTATGTTTAGTGAAAAAAAAGCCAGATACAAAAAAAAGAGTACATACTGTATGATACCATTTATATAAGGTTCAAGATGGGCAAAACTAATCAGTGGTATTACAAGTCAGGATAGTGGTTACCTAAGGGGGAAGGATGAGATAATGACCAGAAGGGACCACTGAGTGTGCCTTCTGGGATGCTGGTGGAATTCTGTTTCTTGATCTTAGTACTAATTACAGATATGGAATCACTAATGGAAATTCATTGAGCTGTATATATTTGATTTGTGTACCCTTCTCTGCATATCAACAAAAAATTTGAGTAAAATTATGCTATTAATCCTGTCTATCTGGTTTTGATTTCTCTAAGCCTCTTACAGGGGACTTTCTGGGTCTTCCAGAGAACCAAGATTCCCAACCCTAATCTCCACATTTCTCTCTACCTTGTGGCATATACAGACCCATTTCACACTAAATAGACTTCCCAGTGTCAGAGTCATTCTTCTGCCCATAGGGAGGACTGCACCTCTTTATGTCTGGGTAGCCCAAAGATACATGATAATGCTAAAGGATCAAATTGCATGGAAGAAAAGAAAGGTTGTTGATTGCAGAATGGAATTTAAGGCAATTGAAAGATTTTACTTCCCTGTTGACTGTGTTGCTACACTTCATAGGCCTTTATGGAAGATGTCAAGTCTCGGGGCCCCTATATCTACTCTGTGCTAGAGTCAGCTCAGGCCTTCCTGTCCCAGCACCCATTTGAGGAATTAGAGGAACCTCATTCTGAGAGCAAAGGTAGGTGGTCTTCCTCTTTTTTGTCTTCTTCTTAACAATGAACTGCTAAACACCTTCCTGCCTTCCCCCAACTCATTTTCTTAGCTGTTATCTGGGAGGATAATTTTCACTTAGGAGTCCAAAGCTGGGAGGGAGCAAGATTCACATTGCAAGAAAAAGCAAAGAGAATCAGAACCTGGAGCAGGGGAGACAAACATGTGGCCCAAAGCTGTATGTGGCTCTGTGGAGCATCATGTGTGGCCTTCTAATGAGACGTAAAAAAGAAAAAAAACAAAAGACTCAAATGCATTGAGCTGACTCAGTAAATAAAAGTAGTAGTATGTCCTTTCAATTGGAGAAAAACAATCCATATGGTTTCACTCATATGTGGAATATACGATATAGTGAAAGGGACTATAAGGGAAAGGAAAGAAACTGAGTGGGGGAAGAATTAGAGAGGGAGACAAACCATGAGAGACTCCTAACTCTGGGAAACAAAGGGTTTCAGAAGGGGAGGAGGGTGGGGGGATGGGGTAACTGGGTGGGCACTGAGGAGGGCACTTGATGGGATGAGCACTGGGTGTTATACTATATGTTGGCAATTGAATTTAAATAAAAGATTAAAAAACAAAAACAAATAACATACTGCTTTATTCCAACATAGAGACATGCAGTGATGCACTAACCAACCAGAAAATTAAAAAAAAATCTTTTTACAATCTAAAAAGCTAGGTGATGACATTTCAGGAGAAAATTTACTGCGTATCTTTGCTACTGACCCTGGTGACTTCTAGTCCCTTCCCTCAGTAGAGTTGGCCACTCTAAGTCTAGGTTCAAGTAAGGTAGTAGGGTGGGATTCATGGTGATTAGGTCTGAGTGGTAGCCCAGTGAGCTCTCTTCTTCAGTAAGAGTCCTCAACCTTTCAAGACTGGCTATGAATCCTCTGGAAGGACTCTTTGTTTTATTTTTTAAAGATTTTATTTATTTATTTATTTATTTGAGAGAGAGAGAGAGAGAGAGAGAGAGGCAGAGACACAGGCAGAGGGAGAAGCAGGCTCCATGCAGGGAGCCCAACGTGGGACTGGATCCTGGGTCCCTAGGATCACACCCTGGGCTAAAGGCAGTGCTAAACCGCTGAGCCACCCGGGCTGCCCCTAAGGACTCTGTTAATTGAGCCCTTTGTAAAGCTGTTGAATCTTTCAGTTTACTTCCAGCTCCTCGGGAGGAAGCTAGTAGTCAATTTACTGCCAAGTGGGCCGCACATAGGACAAACTCAAAAGAAAGTAGGGCAATTCCAATTAGCCTGGAGTTGTGGGGGTCTGAATCTACTTCTGAGGGGAGAGCTAAGGGAGGAAGAAGAAACCTACAATTTAGAAGCCTAGGTGGAAAAGCTTGGGTAAGTTATGCTAAACTCTCCTGGGCAAGAAATGCCTCCCTTCTTTGGATGGAAGTGGCAGCAGACACTAATGCAAAAATAGCATTCTTGAGTCATGTAAATAGGACTCTTAATGACTTGCCTCACTGCACCTCTTCAAATATTTTACTCACTCTTTACCTTGTCCATTTTTTAAGAATATGAGGAAATAAAAAAAAGAATATGAGGAAATCCTCATAGTAGGGGAAAGTAACAACATGGTCTCCTGACTGTGGTGGGGGGACCCACAAATCCACATGTGTGATAAAGCACATAGAGCTGAACACACATGCACACATTTTACAAAGGTCTGTCTTGGTCCCTCCTTCCCTGGCCTGTCCCTGCCGGGTTGGCCTGACCTGGCTTCCTGCTTGCTCTTATAGATACCTCTCCCAGACAGCGGATCCAGAACCTTAGCCGCTTTGTGTGGAAGCAGGCAACAGTGGCCAGTGAACTATGGGAGAAGCTGACAGCCCGCTGTGTGGACCAGCACCGCCACATTGAGCACACTCTAGAGCAGCTGTTGGAGATTCAAGGGGCAATGGAGGAATTAAGCAATACTCTGACCCAGGCCGAGGGAGTCCGAGCCACATGGGAGCCCATTGGGGATCTCTTCATTGATTCACTCCCTGAACACATCCAGGCTCTTAAGGTATACAGGCCCCTACCTAACCTGGCTATGGTCCACCCTGAGACCTGACCCTCCTCCCAGTCCCCGCTACTGAAACTTCATTGTTGGCCCAGACTGCAAATGAGCCTTTCCCAGTTTATGTGATGGTTTGGGGGGCTGGTTTAGCTGGAGTCTCCTCTGCCCTTCTACTGTCTTCTCTTTCCCTAGTGCTTTCTTTTATTATTATTATTTTAAATTTATTTATTCATGAGAGACACACAGAGAGGCAGAAACATAGGCGGGGGGCAGGGCGGGGAAGCAGGCTCCACGCAGGAATCCCAGTGTGGGACTCTATCCCGGGATCTTGGGATCACGACCTGAGCCAAAGGCAGATGCTCAACTACTGAGCCACCCAGGCATCCCTCCCTGGTGTTTTCTAAGAGCAGAAAAGGAAGAGAGTAAGGATAGTGGCCACCCACACCTGAGTCCAGATGGCATCATAGCAAGTACCTGGGTCATGCTGTTTAAACAAAAACCTTTGAGTGAAGAGGGAGGGGTTGAGATGAATGACTAACAGTTCCTCTTTCCCATTCTCTGTTTGCTGTGGGACTTGGGTTCTGGTTCTGTAGCTATTCAAAGAAGAATTCTCCCCCATGAAAGATGGAGTGAAATTGGTGAATGACCTGGCTCACCAACTTGCCATTTCTGATGTACACTTGTCAATGGAGAATTCCCGGGCCCTGGAGCAGATCAATATCCGGTGGAAACAGCTACAGGTAGAAGAGAAGCCTGGAGTGAGCCATCAAGAAGAGCTCTGATTAAAAAAAAAGAAAAGAAAAGAAAAAGAAGAGCTCTGATAGAACCATGTTTGGGAGAATCTTCTTCAGGCCAGAAGAAAGCAGAGAGGCATTAAAGTGGGACCTCCACAGGAAAAGAGTAGTAGAGCATTTAGGGCCAGGGAACAGGCTTCTCAACCTCCAGGCTGCAGGGAGTAATTGAAATGAGGATCTGAGAGGGGCCTAGGGTGTAGGCATTTAGGGTGGATGGGGGCAGTGACTGTGGCCTGGCAATAAGGATGCTTTTCTCTGACCCTTGGGAGTGACGTGGATGGGCTGAGGTGGGCGACAGGGATGGGGGGAAGAGCTAAATCCAGAGAGGAGCTAGCCTGGGAGGGCCTTCACGAAGATTTCCAGAGGTGCCTGGAAATCCTGCACTAAATATCTAGAATGAATTCACCGACTTTCTGCCTCTTGCTGTAGGTGTCAATTGGCGAGAGGCTTAAGCAGCTCCAGGATGCCCACCGAGACTTCGGGCCTGGGTCACAGCACTTCCTCTCCTGTACGTGAGACAGACTAGACTTCACTTAGCAGAACCTCAGATACCTTCCAAGAGAGTCTACTCTTGTGCCTTGGGGGCCTGGGAGGAGCCCAGTGTATCTTGGCATCTGCGAAGCACACAGGATAAAGCAATGTAGTACAGTGGTTGAAATGACAGGCTCTCCAGTTAGAGGCCAGGTCTGAACTACTGCTCCTTGACTTGATAGCCATGCAAGCTTGAAAAAAAATAGCTCAACCTTTCTGCACATCAGTTATCCCATATGTAAAAAGAGGGGAAAATATGACCTAACTCATAGGGTTATAGGAGTTAAAGAACTTCATTTTTTCTTTTTTTTTTAAGATTTTATTTATTTATTCATGAGAGACACACACACACAGAGAGAGAGAGAGAGAGAGGCAGAGACACAGGCAGAGGGAGAAGCAGGCTCCATGCAGGGAGCCCGACGTGGGACTCGATCCCGGGTCTCCAGGATCACGCCCTGGGCTGAAGCTGGCGCTAAACCGCTGGGCCACCGGGGCTGCCCAGAACTTCATTTTTTCAACAACATTTATTGAGGACCTAATGTGGGCCAGGTAGTGTTTCAGGCACCGGAGTTACATCAGTGAACAAAACAGACAAGTCTTTAGACTTACAGAGCTTATACACTAGTGAGAGAGGCCAGAACATAAACAAGTAAAATATGTCTAAGGTGGGGCGCCTGAGTGGCTCAGCGGTTGAGCGTCTGCCTTTGGCTCAGGTCGTGATCCCAGGATTCTTGGATTGAGTCCTGCATCGGGCTCCCCTCAGGGAGCTTGCTTCTCCCTCTGCCTATGTCTCTACCTCTCTCTGTGTGTCTCTCATAAATAAATAAATAAAATCTTAAAAAATATATATGTCTAAAGCAAACTGGCAACAAGTGCTGTGGGAAAAAAGTAAAGCAGGGAAGACATTGAAAAGGTGGTGTTGACTTCATGAGGGAGGTCTTGCAATTTTGAATGGCACAGTCAGGAAAGACCTCACCAGGAGTGTGGCAATTGAGTAGAGACCTCAAGGAAATGAGGGAATGAGCCATGTGGATGTCTGAGGGAAGAGCACACCAGGTGGAGGGAACAGCAACTTCTAGGACCTCAAGGCAGGGGCATGCCTGAGGAACAGGAAGGAGGCTGGTGTAGAGGTAATAAAGAGAGGAGATAGTGGGAGAACAGAAGGGTAGCAGGAGACCAAAGCCCTGAGGACCTTGTAGGGTATGGTTAGAACTTGGGAATTTCCTCTGAATGGAATGGAGAGCCTTTGGAAGGGTTTGAACAGGAAGCTGACATGATCTGACACAGTCAAATGTTGAGGGGCAAGATTGGGAGCAGGAAGATCTGTTAGGAAGCATAGTGTAATAATCCAGGCATTATTCCACCATAATGAGGCATTATGGTGACCCAGGTCCGGGTGGTAGCAGTGGCAATGGTGAGAATATACGGATATGAAAATTAGTTATGTACACAGAGCACTTAGTGAGGTATCTGGCTCATAGCAGGAATTCAATAAATTTTTAAAAAAGATTTTATTTTATTTGTTTATTTATGAGAGACACACACAGAGAGAGACAGAGAGAGACAGAGACACAGGCAGAGGGAGAAGCAGACTCCCTTTGGGGAGCCTGATGTGGGACACAATCCCAGGACCCTGGGATCACAACCTGAGCCGAAGGCAGATGCTAACTGCAGAGCCACTCAGGCGCCCCAGGAACTCAATAAATATTACTGGCAGTTAGAACTAATGCTATTATAATAACTGATGTGCAGCTATACCTACAGTGGGCTCTTATACTCAGGGAAATTGCAGTGTGGTGGTTGACCAGGTAACTAAGCCTCTCCTGGAACATCTGAAAGATAAAGACATGGAGCAGAGAAGGGCATCCTCTTCCGTAATTCCTCACCAGAGAGAATTAAGCGATACCATTCCCAATTGTCCCATAGGACTGAGAGGCTTAACCTTCCCAGGGGAAAGGCTTTGAGCTCCATGAGGAAAGTAGGGTCCACTTCATATCCACGGCAGCACTGGAGCTACCTGCAGCTGAATGGACAGAGATGGCAGCCTGCTCAGGGAAAAGATGGTCAGTGTGGCTGAGGCCAGGTATTCCTGCTCATGCCCTTGCCACATCTCTGAAACATGAGGGAATCAGTGACAATTTCTTCCCTTGCCCTAAATAAGTTCAGAGAGAGAAGTGCGTTCATTAGTTTTTGCCCCACCTTCAGTAAAGCAGGCATCCCCTTTTGGGCTTGACCTCCTATTTAGGAAGATAGAGAAGATAGAGCGGGGGAGTTGCCAGGGGCCTAAAGAGCTTAAGTGGCCAATTCTTTTCTCTTTCTCTTCTCCTTTACCAGCCTCTGTGCAAGTTCCCTGGGAAAGAGCAATTTCACCCAATAAAGTTCCCTACTACATCAAGTGAGTGACCATCTGAATTAGAAGTGGGTCATTCACCTGCCCACCACCCTCCCTTGCCTTTTTTTTCTCCCTGTCCCTGTCACTCATCTATTGGGATTCCCCCATCCAGTCCAGTTTGTCCTCCTACTCATCTCAAGAGCTCAAGATGCTACCTGGGTAAAGGTGAACGCTTGTGCTTTGGGATCTTCATGCTTCACCCTCAGATCCTGCAGTTCCTTGTGTTCAACCTCTCACTGAGGGATGCACACATGTGTGGGGGGAAGTGTGTGGGGGGGTGGCATGGACCCTGGTATTATTGATGCTTTTGTTTGTAGCCACCAGGCTCAGACCACTTGCTGGGACCATCCCAAGATGACTGAGTTATACCAAACACTGGGTAAGAATTCGGGGTTCCTGTATAGGCTGGAGATCTATCTGGCTGCCTTTTTCCTATAAGAACAGAAGGGAATTCCATTCAACAAGAAGGCGGGGTGGAAGTGAGTGCCTTCTCATTTCTCCAGCAGCCTTCTTTCCTTTCCCCTCTGCACCTCCCTCAACTGGAGGCTCTGCATTCCTCTTGAACCATTTTACTATCACATTACGTAATGATGCTTAGAGATGTGATGCTTAGAGATGCTTTTCCGCTTTGAAAGACGCTGTCCAGGCTATGATTATTGTGACTTTCAGGTGCTTTAGTTTTGACTACTAAGAGAGATTCACCATTAGGTTGCAAATATTATCCATGCTGCTGCATGTGAATATAGTTCATTCATTCTCCCTGTTACAGAGCATTCCTTTACATATACCACAGTTTCTTCACCCAGTCTACTGTTGATAGACATTTGGGTTGTTTATAACTTGGAACTAATAAAGACAGTGCTGCTAAGGAGCTCTGGTACATGTGTTCTGGTACACGTGTGCATGTTTTTAAGTCTCTGGGTCTAACATTGTTTCAGTGCCTTGTGAATAGACTAGGAAATTTGAAAGTGCAACAGATCCTGAGCAAGAGTCATATTTGACGTTAATTTGTCATGTTTTTACTTTATCAAATCTAGCAAGGTGTTTCCTGAAGTGCTTGATTCAGTTATTTATACATGCACAACTGCGTGTACATATCGGACCCAGATGTCAAATGAATTTCTTACTATGTGTCTTGGTCAATAAATGCTTGAAAAGCATGGCTTTAGGATCCATATCCAGCTGGGTTGTAGGATATGTGAGTGTTTGGTTTTACCAGGTGATGCCAAATTGTTTTCTGCCAACTTATTACATTCAACTGATTGTATCAGTTTACCCTTCCACCAGCCTTCCTCATTTATCCAGATCTTTTCTGACACCTGCTATTGTCAGACTTTTGTTTTTTTCCAATCTGGTGGGTGTAATATGGTATTTTGTTGTGGTGTTAATTTGCATTTCCCTGATTGGAGTATATCTCTTTCTAATCTTTGCAGCTGATCTGAACAACATTAAGTTCTCAGCTTACCGCACTGCCATGAAGCTACGCCGGGTCCAGAAGGCACTGCGTTGTAAGCTTCCCATCTCACTTCCCTGTGGCCTCCACCCCACTCCCACTCTTACTCGTCTGTTGGCTGTTTTCCACTTTTATCCCACCTCAGCTGTCCCCTCTGTCTGTCCTGGCCCTCCCTTGGAGTCAGTGTTCTGCCTTCTGGGGCTGGCTTTGAGGAGGCCACCCTACCCCACACGGTGGGGGGGCCTGCCTAGTGGGGAGGGGACAGGCAACCTCAAGGACCCTCTCCCAGGGGTTGCCCAAAGCCCAGTCAGGCCCATTTTTTAATGGTTTATATTATGGTTCTTATTTTTTAAAGTAACGCTAACTTTATATGGATGGTGTCTCAAGTGTATTAAATGATATTCTCTAGAAAAAACAAAAAACAAAAAAAACCACTTGTTGTTGATTGGCTTAGTGGGAACTTTCCGAAGGCTGGGATATGCTGACTCTGGATACCTGTTCTTTCTAGGCGCCTTCTATTGTCCCCAAACCCCAGACTTGTTTCCAAAGTAACCCATAATTATCCTCCTACTTGTCCCTTCCCTGCCCAGCATAGATAACCAAGCAACTGTTTTGTGGCGGAAGTATCTCAACCCAAGGTTTGGAGCCATCAGGGGCTTGTGTTCTTTTGCCATCTTAGGGTTATTGAACACAGCAGAACTATTGAATCAAGTGCCAGTGGTTAGGGGACAATGTGGATGTAAATAAAATGTGCTCTCTGACCTTTCTCAGGGACACTATCCATTCAATCTTCCCAGCCCAGGCATGTCTGGCCAGGCAGATTCCAGCATTGACAGTAAATGAGAAAGTCCTCCTGATGTATATCACATTTACCCAGGCATACCTGAGTCTTCATAACTGGTATCTAGATTCTCAGAACAAGGTTCATGGACAAACCTATTTGCTATTGAAATGTGTGTAAAGCCAGAGAGACTTAAAATAGGATTTGACCCTTTAGGAGCTAATACAATAAAGGAGGTGAATTTACTCACATCCTACCATCTTCTTGAAGCTGATGTCAAAGAACAAATTAGTATATACACATTTTGGGTTAATTTAGGAGGCCTTTCACTACCATCCCCCTCTTTGGGATGAGAGTTTTGATGAAATGCAATCTTGTATCATACTTACAAATGATTGGTCTGGAGACTGAGTCAAACTTGGTGATGCTGGTGTGCTATCTCCTTGTCTAGCCTTAGGAGTTCTGTTTTTGGCTATACTTTCCCCTGTCTCTTTTCCTTCCCAGTGGACCTGGTAACTTTAACCACAGCCCTAGAGATCTTCAATGAGCATGATCTGCAGGCCAGTGAACATGTGATGGACGTGGTGGAGATCATTCACTGCCTGACTGCCTTATATGAACGGCTGGAGGAGGAAAGAGGCATCTTGGTCAATGTGCCACTCTGTGTGGACATGAGCCTCAACTGGCTCCTCAATGTTTTTGATAGGTAAGAGCTTGTATCCCTGGAAGCCTCCATGATGAAATCCAGTGGGACATTTGAAGTGGGCATGGTGGGAAGAGGTTGCTTCCACAGTGGACTTGGACTTAGCTCAGCTCGGGGCCTGGTTGGCACAGAGCCCTGCTGGGATCAACTCTGTGAGGGAAATTAATGCCAAGATGTTAACTCTTTACATGTATTCGTGTTCTCAGTCTCTTCTCTTAAACCTAGTGGTCGCAGTGGAAAGATGCGGGCACTGTCTTTTAAGACCGGCATTGCATGCCTGTGTGGCACAGAAGTAAAAGAAAAATTGCAGTGTGAGTACAGCTCCAAAGTCTGGAGTGGAGTTGGGCACAGGGAGAGGTGTTGTGGGAGGAGAAAGGGTGGAAATAAGCAGAAGGCACGTCTTAATGACTCAACAGAGCACTACTCGGGCTACATTATAATAGTGGTCCAGGCTATTGCAACGAACCTACAACAGCCCAAAGCTAAGATGGATCTAAGGCCTGTTACTCTTTCTAGTGTCACTCCAAGGGGGTTGGCTTCTTCTGATCCAATGTGATTAATTGACCAAGGTCTGAGCTGGTATCCTGTGGCCTATCAGGCTTATTAGCCCTCTCCCCGTTGGAAGCTCAAGCCATGTCACACATTCTACTGGAGACTTCCCATGTGATTACACAGGCAGGGCACAATTATTAATCCCTATTGGGGTTATTATTGGGAGGTGAATAGGATGTCCTTCTGTCATATTTAACCTCTCTGGTTTATAGTGCCTTTGCTTTTCCCTCCATCCTCCATCTTCTGTACAGCATTTTGTACTATTCTGTGCTAAGTGTGGCAAGTACAAGGTTCAATCAGATATGGTCCCTGCCTCAAGCTGTTGAGAGTCCAGAGGAGGAGACAGAAATACATAGGAAGCATTTTTGAAAGTGCTAATTAGAATAATCTGAAGGGCAAAGGATATGTGCTATAGCAGATCACAGAAGAGGGATGACAGTGGTCTGGGAAAGCTTTACAGGGAAGGAGACAGAGCAAAGCATGTTCATTGCAACACTATTATTGATTTCTCCCCACATTCCTTTGAGAAAGACCAGACAGTGATTATTTTTCCTCAGTTTACAAGTAAGGAAACTGCAGCATAGAGAGGTTCATGATTTCCCCAAGCTCCTACAAGCTAGTCAGTAACAGATCCAGAACTAAAATGCAGGCTGTCTGCTTTCTGAGTGTTTTCTAAGTGATGGCATGAGACAAGACAAAAATCTTGGAAGGAGCTTCTCTAGGGTCGGGATAGGACGGAGGTGGTTCTCACTGATCAGATATAGTCCATGTTCAAATACGAGTACCATAGTCTATTCCATAATCACTTAGAGGTAATTCTTAGATGATGAGCTCCTCTTTGTGGATTATCCATGCCAGGGTTTCTTTCCATTTGTGTGGAGAATTGAGAGCTTACTACAGTGCCAGACTCCATGAGCTACATGAGTAGAAGGGGACTCATGTTCAGACACCCCTTCACCCCATGGCCCTTCATCTTGCTTCTTGAGAATCTGTTTTCCCGGCAGTGTTGTATCCGTGTCTGGCACTGGTCTCACATGCAGCCTGCTCTCTGTCTTCATCTCTCACTTCCCCTGCTTCTGATGCTCTGTCTCTTTGAGCCTGTCTCTCTTTCTCTCTCTGAACTCAGAGGATGCTTTTTTTTAGATCCCATGGGCTTCTAGAAGGTCAGGGATGGGCCTTTAAGTATTCCGGGTTTCAAAAGTCATTAGCTCAGTCTGTGTGCTCTTTCTCTGTCTTCCTTCCCTGCTCTTTCTCCTTACACCATTCTCTGGCCATTCCATCTTCGGGGGGGGTGGGTGGCTGTGACTTATGGTGTGGCCAGCAGACCTCTTCAGCCAAGTAGCCAACTCAGGCAGCCAGTGTGACCAGCGCCACCTCGGTGTCCTGCTTCATGAGGCCATTCAGGTGCCCCGGCAGCTGGGGGAAGTGGCGGCCTTTGGGGGCAGCAACGTGGAGCCCAGTGTCCGCAGTTGCTTCCGTTTTGTGAGTATGGAACTGGGGAGGGATGACGAGAGGCAGGGTGGGTGGGAAGAAGGGAGGGAGAACTAAGAGTGAGGCTTCTCATCTGAACTACTCAGATGTAAAGGGAGGTCTGCTCAGATGGGACAACAAACCAGAGGGTTCTCTGGGCTTTTAAGATCAGAGTTCTGTTAGGGTGGCAGGGGGGTGGTGGTGGTGGTTTGACAGCTCAACTAGGACAAGGCAAAAGGTGGACACCTCGGTAGGATAAGCCACCGGCTAACTCAGGCCTTGCTGGCTCTCCTGCCCCTCTAAGGGCGGCCATTCTGGGGACAGGGGCCTCAGTCATTGTCATTGGCCTTCTTGTTTCCCTAGAGCACTGGGAAACCAGTCATTGAAGCTTCACAGTTCCTAGAGTGGGTCAACTTGGAGCCCCAATCCATGGTATGGCTGGCTGTTCTGCATCGGGTCACCATTGCTGAGCAAGTGAAGCATCAGACCAAGTGCTCTATCTGTAGACAGTGCCCCATCAAGGGCTTCAGGTAGGGAAGGCAACACCTGAGGGACTGATTATTTTGAATAAATAGACCATGTGACATATAAAAACATACATCATGAAACAATGTATTCTATAATCATATAATTACAGCTGATCTATGGTACAATGCTACATATGGTAATCCTTTCTACTGCAGAATGTTTAATGATTTAAAAAAATTGGAAATGATTAAATACTTCCTTTTGTTTTAGTTTATATTATGAAGTATTCCAGACCTACAAAAATGTATAGAAAAGTGAAAGGGGGTGTGGGAGGCAACAGCACAGAAATAGTTTGTTGATTGTGCCCCAGGGAATATTAAATAGAACCCAGAAACCCCAGCATCTGGACATAGAAGAACACCTCTGAACCAAATGGTATGCTGGCAAGTGGTTCACAACTGACTCCCCAGAAAGCAAAGCAAACAAACAGAAACCAAAACCTGGTTTGTAGTATGTGCTAATTTCCATGATGTAAATACTCCCACTGTGGCTGATGTTGAGAAAAGATGCATGGTTGTACACTAGTTACAACATTTCCACATTGTAGCTATGACAGACTTAACCTCAAGGGCATAGATAATAGAAAAATATTTAGGAGGAGATGAGTTCTGAGCATTTGTTACCTTTGTTTTTAAAATCATTTACTTAATTGTGAGTTTATAAATATTTTTTACAATGGCTGTATTTAACAACTGGCTTGGAAGATCCCTGAAATTTTAACAGCTGGCTCGTGTGAGCTGGTGTGCACCCACCACCAAGCTTAAGAAAGAAAGCATTATTGCAACACATTTGAAATTTCCCTGGTTATATTCTCCTCCTCCTCCCACTATCCTGAATTTGGCTTTCATCATAAAATGCTCCATTTTTAAACTTTTTAAAGCATTAAGGCACTCTCTTTACAACTGCCCTGCTTTTTATAAGCAAATGAGGCATGGAGGTGGCATTTGACTTGCCCAAGTTCACACAGTTGGGTAGTGTAGATCCAGGATTGGATGTTGGATCATCTGACTTTTCTAAGTCTAGGCATTTCACTTTTCTATACTACTAGGTCTGGGCAGTTCAGCCAGGCTTTGGACCTGGATCTGAAGGGCTAGTCAATATTCAGTAATAATAGAGTTATTATTATTATATTTTTTGAGAGAGAGAGTGTGTGTGTGAGCAGTGGGAGTGGGGCCAAAGGCAGGGAGAAAGAGAATCCCCCCTTTTTAAGATTTTATTTATTTATTTATTTGACAGAGAAGAGAAAGAGAGAAAGCACAAGCAGGGGGAGTGGCAGGCAGTGGGAGAGGGAGAAGCAGGCTCCTCGCTGAGCAGGGAGCCTGATTCAGGACTTGATCGAGACCTGAGTCAAAGGCAGACATTTAACCAATTGAGCCACCCAGGTGCTGGAGAAAGAGAATCCTTAAGCAGTCTCTGTGCCCAGCGTGGAGCCCAACTTGGGGCTCAATCCCACGACCCCGAGATCATGGCCTGAGCCAAAATCAGGAGTCTGATGCTCAATCAACTGAGCCCCCAGATTCCCTGAGTTATTATTATATAAAGAAGTCTTGGAAATAGCTTAGCCAACATGCCCAGGGCTAGTAGAACAAGTGCCTTGGTATTGGAAGTGTAACTTCTCCAACGTAGGAAGTGGTACCTGTGAGACTGGACCCTTTGGAGACATCGTTTAGAAAGCTATTTGATTGCGGAAGGGGAGATGGGGGGGGAGGATGGGGTAATTGGGTGACAGGAAGTGAATCTTGGGCACTTGATGAGATAAGCACTGGGTGTTATACTATATGTTGACAAATTGAATTTAAATTAAAAAAAGAAAGCTATTTGATATCAAGAGCTCTTTACCCCTGCCCACCGCCACCTTTGTCAAAAAGATGGTGAGGCAATACTATTTCCCACACAGAGTCCTGGGACTCTGACCATGTACATATCATGGAGGCTTTATGGTCTTTAGAATAAGGTGAGTCATCTGGTGAGGACACAGCCACTGTTATGTACAGAAGGTTGTACACATTATGACTCCATGCCTCACCCCCTTCTAATATGTGTGTGTATATTTGGATGTAGGGAAACGGAGAGGTCACTATGGTATACTGTATTCTCTGTCCTACCGCCTCTTGTCTCCCCAAGGTACCGGAGTCTGAAACAATTTAACGTAGACATCTGTCAGACCTGCTTCTTGACAGGCAGGGCCAGCAAAGGCAACAAGCTGCACTACCCCATCATGGAGTATTACACCCCGGTATGGAGCCTCTGTGTGGGGCAGGAAGGGGAGGCAGCAATTGGGTTCTGGGCCCTTGATCTACTTGGCCAAGCATGGACTAACTATATTCTGCTCTCCTTTGGGGAGCATTCTCCCAGCAGTCCTGGTGATTCACCAGTTTGGGGGATTCTGGCCTTTCTGTTCTTCCAGCAGAGCTTTTCCCTCACTGGGGCCATAGCTGGCTTTAGCAGCCCAGGACACTCATGGCCATTTAAAAGGCATTTACTATTTTCCTGCAGAGAAAAGTCTCGGGGAAAAGATAGAGCAAGGCATTTCCAGGCAACTAGCCTTCCTTCCACGGCTCACTTTAATTTTTCCTACCTAGCTTCCTGCATTGCTCCTGTCACCTGGTCTCCACCTGATACTTTGTCATTTCTTCCATCCCTTCCAGTCAATACCAAAGTTTCTGTTCAAATCAATTATTCAGTCTCTTGGAGGTAAAAAAGAGTATGTTCTTTACCCAGGTCCCCAAATTCTACTTCATTTTCATTGGAAACTGTGCAATTCAACCTGAGCCCAGGTTGGTCAGCATTCCTGAACTCCACTCATAGAATTTCTCCTCTGCTGTGGTCAAGATCCAGAGCTCCATGCTTAGCTCCCTGAGTTGACTCTGCTCCCCAGACTCTTTTATCCCTTTCTGCTTCACAGATACTCCCCAAGTCCCAAGCATATTGCCAGCTCCCCCCACTGTTTTCTCCCACCCTACCCACTCCATCTTCCAGTGTGTTTCCCCGTAATCCATCTCTCCAAATCATCATCTCTCCTCCGAATTCTGTTAGCACAGAAACATGTGTGACCCAGGGGAAGCAGGGGCTTGCCCTTTATTTTTCTTTTATTATCATTTCAAAATAAACATACATAGAAAACTGCCTTGGGATGGTTGATTGATGATCCCCTACCTCCTGCTCACCTTTTACACCCCTAGAATTTATATAAAGATACTTTTAAAAAAGATTTTATTTATTTCTTCATGAGAAACATAGAGGGAGAGGCAGAGACATAGGCAGAGGGAGAAGCAGGCTCCTCACAGGGAGCCCGATCACTCCCTGAGCCGAAGGCAGATGCTCAACCACTGAGCCACCCAGGCATCCCTATATAAAGATACTTTAAAAATTAACACATATATGCTTACTGTAAAAGATTCAAATTCTATAGAGGTGTACAAAGTATAAAACCAAAGTCCCCCTCTCTCCTCAGCCTTGCCCCCACCTCGCCAGTCCTACTTCCCCAAGGCAACCAGTGTTCACATTTCGGCATTATATCCTTCTAGACCTTTTTCTAGGAGTGGGGTGTGGTAGACATTAACAAGTGTAGATGACCAGTCATGTTCCCTGCTCTAGGGGAGCATCCACACTTCCCCAGCAACCCAAAGCCATTAGGATGAATCCCTCTGCCCTGTCTCCCCCACTAGACCACATCCAGTGAGAACATGAGGGACTTTGCCACAACCTTAAAGAACAAATTCCGCTCCAAGCATTATTTCAGCAAACACCCTCAGCGAGGTTATCTGCCTGTGCAATCGGTGCTGGAGGCTGACTACAGTGAGACGTGAGTACCAGGGGCTGAACTGGGGCTGTGGGCCCTGCCAAGCTGGGGGTGCTCTGTGTAGGGGCTGAGTCCCATAGGGGCTACAGGCATATTCCGAGGCAAACCCGACTAGCGACTGGCAAGTTCAGCTTGGGCCTGACTGGGAATCTGGCCTAAGAAATAGTTTAGAGTCCAGTCTCTGTAGCCTTTTTCCCATCAACTCTTGCCCATCTCCCTAGTTTGGTGGTGGGGGATGGAGGGGGTGGTGATAAGGAAACAGACTGCTCAGCTGCCTGTTCCTTGGTCCTCTGAGTCCGCTGCTTTCTTCTAGGCTGGCCTCTTCCCCGATGTTGCCACACGCTGACACACACTCCCGCATTGAGCATTTTGCCAGCAGGTACCACCAGGCTTGGGGGAGGGAGATTTTAAAGAGTCTAAGGGGGATGGGGTTTCCAGTGAGGGCAAAGAGACTAGGGGGATGCACAAAGTGGGGTATGTGGCAGCCAGTAAGGCCCAGCACTTAGGGGTGGTTGGGTCAGCCCCCAAAGCTAATGATCCTATTGTGGGATCAGTGTCTTTGAGATGAAAGCAGGCCCCACATCCTGCTTTCCCTTCTGTTCCTGCTCTTTCTTCTCAGGCTTGCCGAGATGGAAAGTCAGAATTGTTCCTTCTTTAATGACAGCCTGTCCCCAGATGACAGCATGTAAGTTTTCACAGCTGCTTGTTTTCTAAGAATAGTTCTCCTTGGGATCCCTCTGTCACTATCTGGGAAGGCTATATCTTCAAGGGGGAGGTAAGTGTGGTGGTTAGGGTCCTAGAAGCCCCGAGGAAGGGAGGCTGGTTTCTGGGCACAGTGTTTAGTAATAGAAGCCCTCTATTGACTGAGCTGCCATCTTCCCAGGCCCCTTCCTCTTGCAATAGCCCATCCTTCCATGCCTAACCCTGAAGGAAGAAGAATCTGCCCTCATCTAACATTGCAGATGTGAGTCATTATCTCCTGCTCAGGATGTCAAAGCCCCATCCAGTGCCACACCCTGAGGAGATGCCAAGAACTTGACTGGAGTGTGACTAGAGAGATTCTCTCGTGTTCTAGCTCAGAGATGGGGCCCCTTATCCCTAGGGAGGTCCCCTGGCAAGCTCAGGGGGCTTAGGAGCCACTGGCCATGGATCAAGTGGGCCCTGATTGGGACTTAAACAGTCAGTGAGCCCCCTGGGGGTGGCGAGGAAGCAAAGTAGGAGGCCGTCAGGAACTGCACGGAACGGGAAGTGATTTGCTCGTTGTTTCCCAGGGGGCTTCAGGTAGAACCCAGAAGCCCCAGCATCCTGAAAACACTCTCTCGTACCCTCAACCATGACCTCTGCCACCTTTAAACATTTCTGTCCCTCTTCACCCTCAATATATAGCCTCGCCCTCTCTCTGTGTCTTAGAAGTGAATCTTCCAGCATATGTCTCCTGGGATCTGAGCTATGAGCTGAGAACTCGTGCCCTGAGAGGTTTCCTGCTTTAATGCCTTGGCCACCCTCCTTTTCTCTCCCCACATCCATGCAGAGATGAGGACCAGTACCTGCTGCGGCACTGTAGCCCCATTACAGACCGGGAGCCAACCTTTGGACAACAGGCTCCATGTAGCATGGCTACAGAAAACAAGGGGGATCTAGAGAAGATCCTGGCACACTTAGAAGATGAGAACCGGTGGGTGTGGTGATGGCACAGATCTGTGTGGGTTTGAGCATCAAACAGTTTAATTCTGAGTCATGACTTCCACATCGAGCTATGTGGCCTTGACTGAGTTTCTTATATTTGGTGATCTTCCATTTCCTCATCTAAAAAATAAGAAGGGTGGTAATAGTATCTACCTCCGTAGGGTCACTTGTGAATTTCAAAGGAAATCAGGCAGATTTCTTTTTTAATCTTTTTTAAGATTTTATTTATTTATTTATTCATGAGACACACACACACACACACACACACACACACACACAGAGAGAGAGAGACAGAGACACAGGCAGAGGGAAAAGCAGGCTCCGTGCAGGGAGCCTGACGTGGGACTCGATCCCGGATCTCCAGGATCACACCCTGGGCTGAAGGTGGCACTAAACCGCTGGGCCACCGGGGCTGCCCAATGCTAGCTATTCTAATAATTATTTGAATCCTTTTAACTCAACTCAAATATCTTCAAGTACTCAGTATATGCAAGCAGACAGAATGCGAACACAGAGACTACAGAAGGCAGTATGCATGTCTCTGGCCTCAAGGAACTTTCAGGGTTGGAAATAGAAAGAGGCACTTGGCACTTGCTGAAAGTAATAAAACAAGAGAAGGGTGACATTGCATAGAGTGTTTGGGGACTTGAAGAGGGAAGGTGAAAATGACAAAGATGACTTTAATCTCCATAAAGTATGGGTGTCAGGGGGGGCCTGGGTCAAATGGTCCAAGCCACTTTCGGGGCATTCAATAAAACCCAAAGTATTCCTCAGACCAGTGTTTCTCAAACATCAGTGTGTATACGAGTCAATTGGGATGCTGGGTAAGAGGCAGATTTTGATTCACAGGTCTGGGGCAGGGTCTAAGTTCTGCATTTTTAACCAGCGCTCAGGGGAACCCCCTGCTGCTGGCCCACAGGCTACTTGGAGTGGCAAGTCCTTAGAACAGGGCTGGTCTGTTAAGCATTCGTTACTGGTTCAGGACAAGATAAATACAGAAATACAAAGTCAGCTTTTAGAAACTTTTATAGCAGTTCAACATTGGCATGTCTTCTAGGCACATCATTGGTGGACTTTTCATTGAATAAGGTCTGAGTGTTGAACTTGTGTGGCAAGTCATATGTGATGGGAGCTGTGTACAGCCATAGACATTATGGGTCCACAGTGATTGAACTCCCCACCCCCACCCCCCAGTTTTTGGCTATGGATAGTTTGAGAAGCACCGCATTAGGTCAGCAGTGGGCAGGCCCTGGGAAGCACTGGAGAGAGGGTGATTCTGTTGCAAAGCAAAAGTGATGTCCTGCAAAGTAGACCATCTTTTTGGAATCTGTTTCTTGATGATTCAGCATGGGTGTTCAAAGTGGGCCACAGAGGATGATAAGTGGAGAGAAGAGGCAAGGTAGGTGATCTTTTGTTTAGGTCTTCCATTGGAATCTAAAAATCTAAAAATGGAGTAGGTGAGTCAGTGGCCCTTAATGCCTCATTTATTTGCTGACTATGTTCCTGCCTGATTTTAAGTTCAGAATTAATCCCTGAAGCAGTACATCAAAGCCCTGAGACATTTTTTATACAAAATGTCAGCAATTCTTGCTCTGAGGCCCAAGGATGGCAGAGTAAATGACACGTGTGCTGGAGAAGAATGCATATGGCCATAAGAGCAAGAACACAGCTGGGGCGGGGGTGGGCAAAGGGAATGCTCACACCTAGGTCCAAGGGGACATCTGGGAGCTGGATGGTCAATACTTTGTTAGGGCCTAGGTCTCAGCTCCTCTGTCCTTGATAGGATTCTCCAGAGTGAGCTGAGACGCCTGAAGTGGCAGCATGAGGAGGCTGTTGAGGCACCCACCCTGGCTGAGGGCTCTGCAGAGCTAACACAGGACCACCGCAATGAGGAACTTCTGGCTGAGGCCCGGATCCTTCGGCAGCACAAGAGCCGCCTCGAGACCCGCATGCAGATTCTGGAGGACCACAACAAGCAACTAGAGTCTCAGCTGCAGCGCTTAAGGGAGCTGCTCCTGCAGGTGAGGCTGGAGCCAGGGGAAGGACCAAAGCAACCCCCCCCCACCCCTGCCCCACAACCCTCCCTGCACCCCGGAGAAGTGGGGAGCTGGGGAATGCAGCAAAGAGAAGGAAAGGAAAAGCTCCTTGGCAGTGGCTGTTGGATGACTTTCTAAAGAGAATGGGGCTGACAATTAGGGAAGGTGGGGGAAGGAAGGGGCCGGTGTGTCCCATTGCTTGGCCAACTCTGAGTGCTCACTTATCAACAACCCATTTGAATCTGGTATTGAAGGAACACAGTTCAAAGAATCGTCCAAAACATTGATTTTGCTACTGTGATGTTTGCTGGAAAGAAGCTGGTTTGGACATGCTGGGCAAGAGAAAGATTTTTGCTGGGAAGGGGGCTCTTGACTACATTTGTTCCTTTCCCCCTTTGAGAGATAGAATATATGACATAATGTAGCTCTGGATTCAGACAGCCCTGGGTTTGAATGTGGCTCTGCCCACTAGTGACTGTCAGGCGTTAGGAAAGTTATTTAGCCTCACTTATCCCCAGTTCCCTCATCTGCAAAACAGAGATAGTAATATACCAACTTCATGGAATTGTGAACATAAAATGAGATAATGTATTTAGCATGATAGCCAGGAATGTAGTAAATACTTTGTAAATGTTACCTATTACAGTTGACCCTTGAACAACACAGGTTTGAACTATGTGGGTCAACTTATATGTGTATTTTTTAAAAGATTTTATTTATTTGAGAGAGAGAGAGTGCACACAAATGTGCATGAGTGGGGGTGGAGGGGCAGCAGGAGAGGGAGATGTACAGCTCCATCCCAGGACCCTGGGATCATGACCTGAGCCGAAGACAGATGCTTAACCGACTGAGCCACCCAGGTGGCTATACATTATTGTAAATGTATTTTCCCTTCCTTATGATTTTCTTTTCTTTTTTTTTATAGAGGGAGAATGAGGGGGATAGGCAGAAGGAGAGAGACACAGAGAGAGAATCTTAAGTGCAGAGCCCGACACAAGGCTCAATCTCACAACACTGAGATCATGACCAGAGCAGAAACCAAGAGCCAGATGGTCAACCAACTGACCCCTTATGATTTTCTTAATAACATTTTCTGTTCTCTAGATGACTTTGTTGCAAGAATATAGTACATAAGGATGCCTGGGTGGCTCAGCGGTTGAGCATCTGCCTTTGACTAAGGGCGTGATTCCGGGATCTGGGGATTGAGTTCCACGTCAGGCTCCCTGTGAGAAGCCTGCTTCTCCCTCTGCCTGTGTCTCTGCTTCTCTCTCTGTATCTTTTATGGATAAATAAATAAAATCTTTAAAATAAAAAAAGAGTATAGTACGTAGTGCATATAACATACAAACTATAAGTTTGTTTACTGTTTATGTTATCAGTAAAGTTTCTGGTCAATAGTAGCCTATTAGTAATTAAGTTTTTTTAAAAGTAGTTAAGTTTTAGAGCAGTCAAAATTATATGTGGACTTTTGACTGCACAGAGTGGGGGGTTACTAACCTCCGCATTGTTCAAGGGTCAACTGTCTTATCATTTTATGTACTAAGTAATACCACTCCATACCTCTTCCCCAGATCTTCCAAGGGATAGCCTCTAGATGAATTCCTGGAGGTCTTAATATATATCATCAACTGAGGATCAGGTGTGCAGCTCTATGTTTTCAGGGAGCACTGGGTACTAAATAGCTTAGTTATAGCTGAGGTGACAGCAAGAGAACTTTAGGTGCAATGCCAGCCTTATAAGTGCTGGGAGCCTTGGGGCACCTGGGTGGCTCAGTTGGTTACCTTTTGCCTTCGGATCAGGTCATGATCTCAGGGTCCTGGGATTGAACTCGTTGGGCTCTCTGCTCAGCAGGGAGCCTGCTTCTCCCTGTCCGTCTGTCTGCTGCTCCCCCTGCTGGTGCTCTCTCTCATAAGTAAATAAAATCTTAAAAAAACTGGGAGCCTTTGAACATGTTGTTGAGGGAAGAAGGTAACTGGTAACTGAATATTCTACAAAGTTTCTTAAAAGGGGAAGCCACTATTTGAGGCACCACTGAAAACTTCTTAAAGTCCAAGGGCAAAGGGATGGGCATGAGGTCTCTAAAACCCCTTCTAAGCTCAGGAGTCTGTTAAAGTAAGGTCAGAAAAGCAAAGCCCCTAAAGTCATGCCTTACCTCTTGTTAGCCACCCACCGAATCAGATGGCAATGGCTCTGCAAGCTCGTCCCTAGCTTCCTCTCCACAGCAGTCAGAGGGCAGTCACCCCCAAGAGAAGGGACAGACTACTCCAGATACTGAGGCTGCAGGTAAGTTCCTCCAGCCCTTCCTAGCCCCTTCCTCCATGGCTTCATCTCCCCCAGATCTACCCAAGGTCCTGCTAGGGCTGGGACTGGTTTTTCCTCATGGCTTTGAGCTTAGCATCAGGGATGATTGACTTATTGACTGATTCATTTATTTGCTTATTCTACACGTGTATATTGAGCACCTCCTATGTACAAGGTGTGCTGGGAATACACAGATACTCTGTGTTTGTCTTTCAGCTGGAAGCATCCCACCTCAGCCCCTTAGCCTCTTCAGGGGATCCCTAGTTCTCTTCCCAAATCTCTCTTTCCCAACTTAGATGATGTGGGGTCAAAGAGCCAAGATGTCAGTCTGTGCCTGGAGGACATTATGGAGAAGCTCCGCCACGCCTTCCCCAGTGTGCGAAGTTCTGATGTGACTGCCAACACCCTGCTGGCCTCTTGATGGAGCCAGATCCCCATCCTATAATCCATAGTCCTCTTCCGGTTCTGGTCAAATTCTTCCTTCAGCCTTCACCCAACCTTTCCAGTCCCTATGGGGCCCACATTCCTCAGCCAGAGTTCTTTGGGCTCTGGGCAGCAGCAGGGATCTGCTGGTATGTGAAGTGGATGCTTCAGGGCTGGAGGAGGGAGAGGCACGATTCCTCCAAATATAGAAATGTGCCCTTTAACCCTCAAGTTTGAGACAAGTCGCTGACATATGTTTCTGTTGTAGTCCAGGCAAATGGCACTTGGCGGCCATTCTGACGGGGAGCAGAGAATCTACCTTGCAGAGCTAAGCAGTGCCCATTACCCCTTTCCCTTCTCCATGGAATTATGGAAATAAGGAAGCCTACTGACCCCAGGGTTACAGCATTATGAATCCACAGGAGTTAGCCCTATTCTCTGGCCCAACTCAGGGAGGCAGAAAGGTATCCCCAAGACACCCCCCAAAAAAAACGTGCCCCTGAAAATGTTTGGGCAGCATGTGTCCTATGATTTTAGTTTCATGGTACCTCTCTAGCCATCTTAATGTTGTTTCCCCTTTGAATATCTTCCGTTCCTTCTGCCTCCGGCCCTGGCAGACCTTCCTCAAGGGGGGAGGGGGGGCCAATTCATTCTGATTCCTACTTACACCTTACATTTGGAAACATTAAAGAAACACTTATGGGCTTAGTTTTTTTTCCCCTGATCATCCTCCTTCCTGAAGGCCTCAGCATTCCGAGACACCAGCTGAGTTGCTCTGGGGATCCAGCTGAAGCCACCCTTAGCTCAGCCGGGTCTGCCCTCACAGCCCTGGGGTAGGGGCAGCAGCTTCCTCAGCAAGGGAATCTTGCTCTACTTGGGGTGAGGAAGGGGACGCCACTCACCAGCCTAGAGGAGTGTGACTGCCCAATACTCTTGCAGGCTGTGACCTTCTTTCTTTTGGGTGGAATCAGATGGGGCGGCTGATTTTCCCCTGCTAATCATAAAGCAGATGTGAGTGGCAACCCTAAATAGTGGCACCTTCCTAGGAGCCACTGGCCACAAATCAGGAAGCTGGCCACTTTCCACCCAGACAACAGGAAGGCCTTCCTTTGCATAAAATGGTTCTAACTCTGGAAGGTGAACCCAATCCTCAAAGTAAACTAACTCTTCCTAGGCTACATATACCATAATCCCTTTATCCAGAAACCGTTCAGAGCAGATAGCAGGTGATTGGGGTGGGGAGGGAGTTGGCTTGGGAAATTGGGAACAGAGTCAGAGCCCACTGAGGCAGCATTTTACAAGAGGAGCTTTATAACCTAGAACCCTGCAATTGATTTAATTTGCCTGTTTATATACATATATATCTATCCCGCATATTACTGTACATCAGTACTCCCCTGGCCTCACTCACACATTAAATTCTAATACCTCTTAAAGTATTAATGTTCTGCCTTGCTCTTTGTTAGCCCCATCCTCTGGTTGGACAGATAGAGGCATCCTGGCTGCTCCCCTAGGATGTCTCTCCACTCATGTTTGGGGTGAACTGTCCTCAAGACCAAAGCAAGAGAAGCCTGTGGCCACAGTGGAATCGAACAGAAAGGGTCACTCTGGTCTCTTGACTCATTCCAAATCTTCTTCCCTGGAGACCTGGGCCTTGGATGAATTTTCCTGGTCTCCCCTAAATAAAGGATCAGGTGTCAAAATAGAGCAAAGGCAAGCTTTACTCATCCCATGCAGACAAGAAGGAACAGATAGGCTTTTATTGGCCTTTGCCAGGCTAAGACACAGAGAATACCCCCGGCCTCTTCCAGTTCCTAGGTCTGGCTCAGGGACTTAAGGAAAGCAGTGGTTGCCACCAAGATCAGGAGAGTGTGAGATAGTGGGGGTGCTCTGTTATAATCAAGTAGCCAGCCATGGGTAGAACTGCTGGGAAGCTAAGATGTATCTGCTGCAGGGGAAGGAGGGCAGCAGCTTGGGTTCAGAAGCCTAGGACTAGTCCCTTCTAGAATGGCCAGGGAGCACTAAGTCCTAGGTCCAGGCTATCAGACCTAACCACAACATCTGCCTTAGTGCTCATGAGGTCTCTGGATGGGAGGACTGGGTATCTGGGTGTATGGTGAACAGGTAGTAGGCAGGCACCAAACCAGAGCCTGGGCCTCTGTCTATGGTGGGGGTGGGGGGGATATTTGTAGGGGCCTGGTTGTGGGCAGGAATGGGATAGAAGGAATTTGCTATATAGTTAGGGAGCTCAGGGTCTTTGAGGCATATCCTGCCTAAGCCATAGAAGGGCAGATGTTATGAAACAGTCTTTTACTGGGGAAGTCCTTGAAAATCCTTTCCATAACCATCCCTCCCCTTCCCCCTCCCCCCCCCCGCCCCCGCCCCCGCCAAGAGATCTTGGGCTGCTGAGGGCCTGTGGCAACTGCGTGGGCTAGGTATGGTAGAAAAGATGTAGATCTTGCTATGTAGGATTTTGTGCTGTAGGTGGACCGAAGCAGCAGGTTAAGAGTTGAATTGTCACTAATGGGGCCATTGCCATTTTGTGTGTGGTCCTGTGTGTACTTTAATGCCCGAGATGAGTATATCACTTGAGGGTCCAGTAACCGTCACAGCAGCATGTGTGGGCAGTTTGCCCGCGGTGAGGTAAATGGGTCCTTGGGCACTGGGAATCTAAATTAGGGTGAGATTTACTGAGATGTGTTGCATGTTGTTAGGCATCTGTCATGTATTGTGTTTCCTATAGGTTTTTTTTGTGATGCTGATTAATTTATGGCCCTGTGCCAGAGGAGTGGCAAAGAGAGTTTCTGGGCAGGCAGCCTAAAGAAAACCTCCGACTTGTGAGATTAGCATCAGTGGAAAGGAATGTGTTTGCTGAGGTGGTTGTCAAATGGTATCAGGGGACAGTTGGGATTGATAGGCGATTTATTCTGGACAGAATCTGACACAGGCCCAAAAGCTGTTATGAGGGTGCCTCTGCTCCAAGTGAGAGCAGAGTCAGGTTATGTTGACTGGGAACTTGTCAGGAAAGGCTAACTGGCTATAAAACATCAAGCTCTGTGTTGTATGGTTCCCTAAGGAGGGCCCTACCCAGGAGGACATGTGCCCTTCCCTCCAGGATGGCAAGGCTGAAATCAAGGCTCTCAAGTGCCCATTTCCTTCAAGTCCCCAGCTTTGGAAATATTTCCCTGTGGAGAAACCCGCTTGAGGCCCTTGTGCTCCGGGAACAGGGCCAGTAGGCCACAGTAAGGAGAAACCCTGAGGTCTGGCAGAGGCCAAAGCCAGGAGATGCTTTCCCTCCAGGTTAATTTTAAGGAATATCCGTGCTGCCTGAGGTGTGTATTTGGGACCTGGGCTCCATGTCCAGCTTCGTGCTTAGAACATTCCTTGAGCACACATTCTTAGTGGACGACTCATGGCTTCTGACACTGTTTCAGGCCAAGAATCTCATTAAAGTTCCCCTGACATAGGTGACAGCTAGCCAAGAAAGTAAGCTGCCTTAAAATAAACAGTCCTGGGGCAGAGACTGAGGGCCCTGCCCTGGGGCTGTGGAGACTTAGCTGCCCAGCTGAGCAGCTCTATCTCTAGACTTTCCTGCCAAAATCTGGCCCTAGGAACAAAGGAATACTTCAGCTCCTTACTTTCTTAGCACCACCGGCTGTGGGAGAGGGCAAGGCTCAAGGTCAGGGCTCAGCTCCCAGCCTCCATCTCCTTCCACAGCTGCTGCATTTGGGGTGACCTGCTGAATGTCCTTGCTGCCCCAGGGCAGTACTGAGGCCAGAGTGGAGGCTCCTGTGCTGCTTGCTGGCTGCAAGAACTGGTCTCAGGAATAGAAGTTGGGGAAGGGATCCAGGGGAGGGGGAAGTGGCAAGGGTGGCACACAAGTCTAGAAAAGTTTGGGACAAAGGGGTGTGGCTGGGGAAAAATTGGTTAACTTTGCCACTCACCGTGGTGCTTTTCCCCTTTCCCTTGAATTCTGCTTTGAAAATAATAAATTTGTATTTGTTTACTTTGGTTCTTCTGGTTATACTCTGATATTCCACATCCTTCCCTCATTTGGGTGTGGAGAGAGGGTGGGCCAAGGCGGCACAGGAATACTACACAACACAGGCCACCAGATGAGTTCAGTACCTGCTGGACCAAAAAAAAAAAAAAAAAGGAAACCCCCCATGCACTAGGCCCCATCCATTACTGTTACCTAGATTGGTTGCCTTTCAAGGTCCCACACAAATTAGCCAGTTAGTTATCCCCTCATGGGAGGAGCGCTCTATAGCAATAGTTCTTAAATACCATCCTCATCAATCTGAGGGATTTTTCATCAGCCCAAAGCAATATGAGAAAAGTCAGGACAATGAAGTGAGTTTCCATAAAGTTACATTTATTCAATTCAAAGGCCTATCTTTCATTATGGATATATATGTTTAAGGTGTTCTTGTAGCTATGGCGATAAAACTATGACAATAGTTTTTTTTCAAATGCCATTTTCTGGCAGAATAAAACCCTGTGAGTCCCTCTTCCCCACCACCAATTTTTTTCTCACCAATCCTTAACAGCACTGTCCAATAGAAATTTTTTTTTATTTTTTTTTTGTCCAATAGAAATTTAATGCGAGTCACATACACAAATTTTCTAGCAGCCAGATTTTAAAAATAAACAGGTGAAATTAATTTTAATATTTAACCCAGTATATCCAAAAGATTATTTCAACATGTTATCAGTATAAAACAATTACTGAGAGACGCTGCATCCCTTTTTTGTTTTTTCACTAAATCTTAGAAATTGTCAAGCAGGCTGACAGATTCAGTTGGGAAAAAACCCAAGACACCCACATCAATCCAGACACTCTATTACTCACAGAGGCAGCAAAAGCAAGATCAGCAAGGGTCTCACCTCCCTGCATCCCTTGTGCCACAGGTTGCCACTGAAACAAAAGGGGCCCGAGGACATGCAACATGAATGGTGGGATCTCCTGTTGCTGAGTAGCCAATTCCACACTGCTCTACCCTCTGGGGGTGGTGGGGCAGGCCTAAAGTCTGGTGCCTCACTCCAATGAGGGAGGCAGATGAGAAACTGCCTCCCAGAAGCTTCCCTAGAGATAGGGAGGTGAGTGAGAAATGGTCTTGTAGCGACTTCTCATGAGACTGCCTATCTTCCCATGTTCTGGGAGGCTCATGGGGCATTCTGCCAAGGCCTGCGGCAGCCTGCACACAACCCTTGACAATGTGGCCTATGTCAATATGTGCAAGGTCGGCAGGACACCACCATGGAGCAGTTCCCCTTCCAGAAAACCAGTGTGTGTTTTACACTTACTGCACATCTCCGTTCAAGCTAGCCGAATGCTGAGGGCTCGAAACCCCCATGTGGCTAGTGGCTACCATGTCGGACAGCACAGGTCTGCGACATGCAAGATTCAGGATTACGGGACCTTAAAAAACGAAAACTTCCTGAGACATGATATGTGTGTGCATGCGTGCTTGTGTGTGTGTGTGTGTGTGCACGCGCGCGAGCATGCGAGCGTGGTGGGGATAAGGTGAAGGGTCAGGGTGGCAGGAAGCCTTGGGTGACTGGAGGGCATGGTGAAGCAGTTGCCCTGGATTACAGTGAGATGTGGTAGCAGAGGGCTTGGAAGGTGACTGCCAACATGTGGCTTCACCCTTGCCTCTTGCTGTTGTCTTCCCTACCATCCTGCCTCTCAGCACGGTTCTGTCTGCTCCTGATACCACGACCTGAGCCCAACCCAAGAGTCAGATGCTCAACCAATTGGAGCCAACTAGGTGCTCCCGAAAAAAAATTTTTTATATCATGATTTTCTAAGATTATTTCTTTATTCATGAGAGACACAGAGAGACACACAGACATAGGTAGAGGGAGAAGCAGACTCCCTATGGGGAGCCTAATGCAGGACTCAATCCCAGGACCCCAGGATCATGACCAGAGTCAAAGGCACATGCTCAACCACTGAGCCACCCAGGTGTCCCATCACCTTGGTCTTCAAGCTGTCTTCTAACTTCTCTCCTAGTCTTCATTTTGTTTGCCCTTAACATGTCTAGCTCCCTTCACCCCACTTCTTCTCTGCATTTGCCCCCAGCATTCCTTGCCTCCCACCCTCATCTATGGGCCTTGCCCATACATATTGATCTGCTCTTCACTGCCTCTAGCTGATTAACTTCAACTGGGAATGGGAGCACTAGAAGTGGCCCAGAAAACTTGGGAGTTCATTTCCTAGAGCAGCACCAACTTTGTCGATTGGGACTAGATCTGGTTCTAGCTGGACTACTTCCAGAAACCCCTCAGATGCCTCTTGGTCATAAGTATTATCACCCTTGATTTCCAGATGAGAAAATACTAGAGCTCTAAGAGGTGCAGGGACTTTCCCAAGGTGAACAGCAGAACCAGGATTCCAACCTTGTGTTCTTTCCACTACAATGTAATGAGATTCGAATATTGGAGCTGCCATTTTTATCACTTCTCTAGACACTTTCTCGAAATCCCAGTGCTATACGGTTAATAGGAGATGATCTGCTTAGTTCATTAGAAGTTATCCCAAAGGGGGTCCCTGGGTGGCGCAGCGGTTTAGCGCCTGCCTTTGGCCCAGGGCGCGATCCTGGAGACCCGGGATCGAATCCCACGTCGGGCTCCCGGTGTATGGAGCCTGCTTCTCCCTCTGCCTGTGTCTCTGCCTCTCTCTCTCTCACTGTGTGCCTATCATAAATAAATAAAAAAAAAGAAGTTATCCCAAGGGCTCTTTAGAAGGATGGCCCAGTACTGGCACCATCTTGTCATTTATTAATGGTAGTTTATTGCCTGTATCTCCAGTTTTCTTTTGGATAGGAGTACAACCATCATGGGAGCAATTTAATAAAGTGACAGCAATCCATTTAAAATGAGGAATTTATTTATTGCTTAAAGAACACAGACCAGAAAACCTTAACAGTACAGCAGAAAAAAAAACAAACCCATCCAGGGTTTTTAAGGGAGTCTTCATAGGCATCACAGGCATCTGATTTTTCCTAATCTTTTCTGGTGGGGATTTCAACGAAGAGGCTCAGAATATAGATAACAGCTCAAAATTTCATCTCTGCTCTAACTATTCTCTTAGCTGGCAAATAATAACCAGACACAACTTATAAACACAACAGAACAAAGCTAACAGCAGCAAGAAATCATCCCTGAGCAGGAAAGCAGCCCCTATCACCTAAACAGAGACAGGACACAACCTAGTGCTAACTGCTGCGAGGTAGGCACTTAATTCACTGTGGCAAGTCCTAGTCTTTGGTAGAAAAGATTCATTTTGTGTCTTAGGAAATATTTAAAATTTATAGGAAAAGGGAACTGGAAACATATGCAAACCAGCTATATAGCCTTCAGGCTAGAGTGTCTTTGGCAAGCATGGCTGAATCATTTGATGGCATCAACACAACAGAAGCAATATAAGCAATTCTCAAATTGATAAAGAGAAGCAAAGTTCCATATTGAAGTTGGGTTTTTAGGTCTACTATGTTTGTATATTCTGTCCCTTTCTACACAACCCTAAACTTCAGATATGACTAGAAAACAAAAGTTCAGATAAACAAATACAAATGACTCAATGAAAGGGTCAGAAACACATACAATTTCATCCAGTCTTCAGGCTGGATAGTGAATCCAACGTTCCTGCGCCAGGGCGAAGGCTCTCTCACTTCTCCAAAAAATACTTCAATTGTTCCCGTAGGGAAATGAGCTGTAGGGAGAGGTGGAAAAACATGAAAAATTCATCCAAAATCGTAAGTTCCATTACTTGACCTAGAATTTACTTGAATGAGCCAAAGAGAACTACTGTAATTTGGTATTTATAGGGTTATCTTAGTCTTGCAGTGTTCCAAAGAACAGTGCCACGGTCAGTTGAGTGCTGCATGCTGCTTTCTTTTATGGTGCCAAACTTATAAAAGGAAGCTTTAAAATTGAATATGCTTAAAAATTCAACATGCTTGCTGTTAAGACGTTGTGCTTCTGGGAAAAGCGTACAGAGGGATCACTGTAGCCACATTTGAAGAATATAAAGCAGCTGGGATAGCCTTCACTCCCACGGAACACACCAGATCTTAAACCAAGTCTTAGCTGCTGCTTCTTGCCATGTTATGCTAGATACTTAGAAACCGAGCCGGAGACCTGACCAGTCAGGAGTCCTGATGATGTTCTACTTATTCTGATTCTTTCTAAGTCAGAAGTCCTGAACCTTTTGTGATGTAGGATTTAATTTCTTTTTTACTTGAAATGGCAAAGTGACCAATAACATTAAGAGAGATATTACTATCTTTGGGACAAAGATTGTTTCTGAGTGTTACTCAATTTAGGTCACTCTGTACCAGTGTAGATTTTCATTCTGTGAAAATGAAAGGACAGAGCATTATAAAATGATTCTATGCTGCACATAACCTACCAAATTACCAGAATTGCTTCCTACAGTAATTTAGAGGCTCTTTACACTCATATGCTGACATGATATCAACTGCTGCCTGCTCCAGTTCTTTCCCCCTTACAGGCTTTTCCTCTCACCACCTCCAGGTTCAGACTTCAGGCTAAACAGTCGACCTAACTCATCTAAGCCTCACAGCTTCAATGATCGGTTCTCTGCATGAGCCAACCTCTACTCTTCCATTTTCAAAAGTACTTCCAAGGCACCATGCTTCCAATTTGACTCATGAGCCTCTCCACCCCGAAACCCCCGCCACCCCTAATAATTCCCTTCCTGTTGTGGTCTGCTAGTGGCATACCATTTACCAGTCACTCAGGTTTCGGACTCCTCCTTGTTCTCCTTTTTGTCCTGTAAATCCAATCAATTGTTAAGCTCTGATTCCTTCTAGCACTCATATCTTCCTCTAGTCTCTCTCCACTCCAATTCCTCCTACCTACTGCTGGCAGAGAAGTCTTCCTGAGTTATTCCCCAGCGAGAAAAGCTTTGATGGCTCATGATGCCTCCACCAAAAATCTCAACTCTAGCCTGTCAACAGCACCCCTGAGCTATAGTACTTTCTATATAGAATGCCCTCCTTTCCTTATATCTTTATTAAAACCCTACCTTTCAAGGCTCCAGCCAAACATCATTTCTCCACAAAGTCTTCCCTCATCTCTATGGACAAAAGTGACCCCTCATTCCTTTAAATTCCTCTCATGGCTCTCTCTCCAGATGGAGGTAGAAACTGGGCTGTAAGTATTTTGTAGCTCCCTGCAGAACCTAGCTTAAGGCGGGCACCCATCTACGCTAAGTGAGCTAACATAAAGGACTGTGAGTGAATAAAGTTTATGGCTATGTTTCTGTGTTGGAAGTAGCACTCCCCAATACTATTTAGATGGACAGAAACAAAGATGTTTGGTGGGTCCTAAAGTAATTTGGCATTAACTGTACATGTGGTTGTTTTAAGTAGTACCTGGTTAAGTGATTTGCTGAGGGGAAGGGAATATACAGAATTCCCCTCGCCTTGCTGGTCTGAGGAGTGGGGATGAGGGATGGTGTCTCCACCTTAAAAGCCCCATGCTAAGCCCATCATCATATGGCCTCCAGTTTCTTTGAAATTGTGACCCTCAGTTTTTTAGGGCTGAAGTCAGCATCCATTTTCTGTACAGCCAGTTGACCCTCACTTATCCCACATTACCCTCTTTTTTCACTCTGTTCATTCTCTCATGGCTTTAAATAATACTGTTGTTCCAGTTAGAAATCTGGCATGCATCCATAACACTTTCTTCAACACCCACTAATTGATCCAAGTCCCATCAATTCTATCTTTAAATTACATTCTCCCATATATGAATGTTTATGGCAGCATTATTCATGATAGCTAAAAAGGGGAAACACCCAAATGTCCATCAATAGATGAATGGATAAACAAAACATCGTATGTATGGTATGGTATGTACATGCATGCACATGCATGCACGTGCACATAGACACAGACACAGACACACACACCACTGAATATTAGAATATTATTCACCCACAAAATGGAATAAATTACTGATACATGCCATGACATAGATTAACTTTTAAAATATTATACTAACTGAAAGAACCAGATAGAAAAGACCACATATTATGTGTTTCCTTTAATTAAATAAGCAGAATAGGGAAAATAGATTAGTAAAAAGTACATTTGTGATTGCCTAGGTCTGGCAGGTGGGAGGAATTCAGAAGAAACAGGGAGTGACTAGTAATGAGTACAGGTTTCTTTCTGGGGTGATAAAAATGTTCTAAAATTGATTATGGTGATGGTTGCACAATTCTGTGAATATACTAAAAGCCACTGAACTGTCCAATTTAAATGTGTGGCATGTGAGTTATACCTCAACAAAGCTGTTATAAAAACATTTTTATTACAGTTAAAAAATTCTATTCTTCCCATATCCACTGCCACCACCTTAGTTCAGGTGGTCATCACCTCTTATTAGACTACCACACAGCCTCCTAACTGGCCTCCCTGCTTCTAGTCCTGCCTCCCTATAATCCATTCCCTAGATAACAATCAGAGTGATCTTTAAAAAGTGTAAATTAAATGTGACTCTCTTGCTTAAAACTCTTCATGGGTTTCCCACTACACTTAAGACTAAAACCCATCCCCCTTATCATGGCCTGCAAGGGACCATATGCTATGGCCTCTGCCTACTTCTGCAACCTTATGTTAAGTCACTCCCTTCCTTGCTTTAAATACTCCAGAGGTCCTCCAAGAGGCCAAGTTCTTCTCCAACGTGGGACCTGGCATATGCTTCACCCAAGAGGCTCTCCATTCCCTCTTCGCCTGGACTTCTCCTGTAGGTCAAAGCTTACATATCACTTCTTCAGAGAGGCCGCTCATTTTAATTTCATTTAATTCACAACTCTTTTTATACAAATAGCACCACTGATTTTTTTCTGCTTAACAGCACTTCATGACTTGCACTTTTATATTTGTATGATAATTTGCTCACTGCCAATCTTCTGTGGTAGATAGTTAGCTCCATGAGGACAAGCACAATTATCTGTCTTATTCAACACTGTATGGACATCTTGTGCTTTTCACTTAATAGGCATTCAATATCTGTTGAATGATTGAGTTTTCACAAAAATCTTTCCAACCTGCTACCCTCATTTAAAATATTTGGCCGTTACTACTTATGTGAAAGGAACAGCAGAAATGACATTGGAGATGGGGTGGGGGATTTTTTGTATCAAATGTTTTCTGGTTGATTCAAAAACTCACTTCTCACCTGTTCATTTTTTTGTATTTCCTGTAGCTGAAGCTGCTCCAGCATAGACTGTAAATGATTCTGGAAAACAAATTGTATAAATGATGAATGCTGAGTCTCAAGGGAAAAGAGAATCAAGTGAGACTTATCAATGGTTTGATAAGAAAATGGTCAGTTGTAACAAAAGAGCACTCTTTTTAAAGGATTTGGAGTCTAAAAACTGTACCCCCTAACTACAGAGCCATGTCATTTGACTGTATAACCCTACACACAGAATTTTTTCTTGCCCTAAAATAAATGGTTAGAATGCCTTCATGTTACCTTTTTCTAGTTTTAGCACAAATCCTTTGACTATGGTGAACTATTTAAAAAGCTGGCTTGGAATTGGATGCTGACTCACTCATTTCCCTGCACTAGGTTAGAATATTACTATTACTAACTAGTACTTCATGCAACAGCATAATAATACCATATGGGTGTATCTTTCACAGTGTGCCCGCATCTATTAGATCACTTGGTTATTCTAAAGGACAACACTCTAAACAGGTATCGTTCTGTGTCACGTTGCTCCATTTTGATGACTACAGCTCTCCAGAAAATGAAATCTGGCAAGGAATTTTCCAGATGCTTCAGAATTTCCCTTACAATAAAAAAGCATTCAGGGGCAGCTGAGTGGCTCAGTGGTTGAGCGTCTGCCTTCAGCTCAGGTCATGATCCTGGGGTCTTGGGATCGAGTCCCGCATCAGGCTCCCTGCGGGTAGCCTGCTTCTCCCTCTGCCTATGTCTCTCCCCCTCTCTGTGTGTCTCTCATGAACAAATAATAAATAAAATATTTAAAATAAGCATGCAAACATGGCCTAAACATACATTTCCTTTGGTTGAAATATGTATTAACAAAAATAAAGCAAAATATTTATTTTTCTTCAGGCATGCATCATAACATTTAGAAATGAATTTAGTTAATTTTCTTTTACTGCAATGAATACATTTTGGTACAAACAACAGGATTCAATCTATGTCTTACCACTTGCTGTGGTCCTTGGCAAGTTACTTAACTTCTTTGAATTTCCAATTCCTTATCTATAAAATAGGACTAGTGACAGTACCTGTATTTCAGGAATGTGAGGATGAAATGAGATGATACATGTAAAATGGTTAGCTCTTTATGTGCCTTTCTTATGATAAATGTTCAATATTGGTGATTATTATCTCAGGCCTCCTGGTCTCTTCCCAAAAATGCTTATGTGAGATGATCAAAATTACTCAGGTAAAAGGAATAGGGCTATGTTTTATTAGGGGTTTCTAAGAGGCTCTTTAGGTGTGCAAATGAATAAGAATGCTGCACAGAGACAACATGAGTAGAAACACAAAGATAGAATTTTGAAGGTAAGATATCAGGATATCTTTATCCCAGCCAGCAAGAATTTACCTTGAGCGTCAGGTTTTCCACTTTGATTATGAGATCCTTCTGTCTTTGTGCTTTGCATTGAATCTCTTGGAGCTTTCTCTCCATGTAATGAATCTGCTTCTGAATATCCATGACTAACAGAGATAAACAGAAATTTTATCTAAACAGAGCCTAAACTAGTGGGCCGAGATAAAAATAAACTAAAACTCCAGTATACATCTCAGCAATAACTTCTCAAACTTAGTCCTGCAACTTCTCGAACTTAGTCCTGCATCTAACATGTGTTTAGAGTCAATCTTCAGCACTGCATCTAACATGTGTTTAGAGTTAATCTTCAGCACTGCCACCCAGTCTGTCTCGCCCTTTTGGTTTTTCCTTTATAACTTACCTACTGAACTGGCTTCTTCCTTTGCCTCATATTGGCCAGATGCAAAGAACCTGGCCTGTAGCTCCCTTTCCAGATCCTTTTCATAATAATCTTCCTCCTCTTCCTCAACTTCATACTCATCACCATAGTTGTCCTTTTCTTCATCCTCCTCATCCTCATCGTCATCATCATCCTCGTCTTCGTCGTCATCGTCATCGTCATCATCATCATCACTGTTACTGCTAGAATCATTGGACATCTCCCGAAGCATACCATATTCTATTGGTTTTAAGGAAGAGAGGAAGGCGAAACTATCTGAATCTTCTATTTTTTAAAGATTTTATTTATTTATTCCTGAGAGACGGAGAGAGTCAGATACACAGGCAGAGGGAGAAGCAGGCTCTTTTGCAGGAGCCCAATGTGGGACTCCATCCTGGACCCCAGAGTCAGGCCCTGAGTCAAAGGCAGACACTTAACTGCTGAGCCACCCTGGCATCCCTATCTCAATCTTTTCAAATGACTCCCACTCTAGCTGCAATTATCCTCCTTCCCCTCAAATTCACCAGAAACCAATGCATTTTATAAATAATTTTCTCGAAGGAAGATTATTCTCGGGATCCCCGGGTGGCTCAGCGGTTTAGCGCCTGCATTTGGCCCAGGGCGTGATCCTGGAGACCCGGGATCAAGTCCCACATCAGGCTCCCTGCCTGGAGTCTGCTTCTCCCTCTGCCTGTGTCTCTGCCTCTCTCTCTCTCTCTCTCTCTCTCTCTCTCTCTCTCTTTCTCTCTGTGCGTCTGTCATGAATAAATAAATAAAATCTTTTAAAAAAAAGATTATTCTCTTCCCAGAACAATGAGGGAACTAAATGCAAAACACTAGCATTCATTCATGTATTCAATGATCAAGACATTTAGAGTATCTAAGAGCCCAGAGGCATTTAGAATACCAGCGATGGATGAAATGACAAAGGCCTCCTTTTTCTGTGATTGGCCAGTGAGTCTATGGAGAATGGCTTTTCACACAGTCAACACCTGTCCTCTCTGAAGCTCTTATTTTGCTGCTATAAACCTACCTGACAAGATATGACCCTGCATATAGTCACTTAGCCCTGGGGACATTGCAAAACCTGGGATGGAGCCTTGACTTTCAATTTCCTTGGTTTCATCTTCAGCAATGACTTCCCATCCTGAAAGGTAGGGCAATCAAGGAACAAGTACAAAGAAAGGAGAAGCCACAGTTGGAAAGGAAGAGGCACTCTGGCTGAAAATGCTATTTAATTTAGTCCAAATTCTATCTGGATTCCTAGTATGAAGAAGTACCTTATATTGAGTCACACATGTAAATACATTTCTATCATGTGAGTTTACTGTTCCTAGCTAGGAGGTAACATTTCCCAAAATCCTAAGTTCTACACATCAACAATTGCACACAAATACGTGAGGACTTGTCAGCAAGTGCATATGGGCTGGAACAGACAACACAGAAAATATTTAGTATAAAAGGATACGAGCACTGACAGCTTCAGCATCTGAACACAAGAGTCTTTTTACTTCCTTTTCCACATCAGGAGATTCAATGTACTGAACCAAAGTGGGGGAAGGCGGGATACCAGTAAGGTCATTTAACATCCTGTGTTTTCCAGGAATGTCCTTGTCCTACATACAAATTAATTCAAATAATTAGGCTCTTCAATATACATCCAACCAAATTTCTACTTTAAGCAATGCTATTTACGAAAGAATCTTTATACCCACCAGGGTCTAGGGTTTTTGTAGTAAACTTTTTTTCCCCAAACAAATTACTTGATACATTTAATCTTTTCACTCTGCAATTCTGTGTTAAAGACCTCTCTCAGAGGCACAACCTTAGGTCTCAGTTATTAATTATTTGCCCTTATCCATATTGGCAAAGAACTACAATTCCTTATTTGTTCTTTAGAAGTAATTTCGCCTAACAATCCAAATTCCCAGGGTTTACTTCTTCACATCTTTATTGTTACAGATTTTCCCATAAAAACTGGGTCTTAGCTACATGTTCTCATTTAAATACAATTTTAGACAATTATCTCCACAGCAACCAATTTTTCATGCCACAAATAGAAATTAGAACTTTGCAGGGGGGAACAAGCAATTGCAAACAACTGCTGGTAAAAGCAAACACTGGCTTCCAAGAAATGGCTTTTAAAATAAGTATCAGAGAAAAAAGCAGATTGGAATACACAGTCACTAGCCAAATTGTATCTTTTCCTCTAGGAGTTATCACACATTGAACAATGAATCCATTTTTCAATTAATCCAATTCAGCTTACATGTATGGCAGTGGCAGATGAGAAGGAAGGCTTAAAAATAACCTTTATGATTTCTTTGATTTGCTTCAAAGTAATAAGCTATTGAGGAAAACATACGAAGGGTAAGCAGTAAAGTTATATGATGATTGCTCTACCTTAGGAAAGCTGATTTCTTCAATTTGTTTGAAATCGATGAGCTATGAAATAAAACACAATAAACAGTGAAGTTATATTATGATTTTCTACTTGATTAAAGCTTAAAGAATTCTAAACGTATTCTTAACTTAGTTTTACATTTAGCAGGCACTCAATAAATGCTGTTGACCAACATTATAAAAGCCAAGACAACTGTGTTCATAGACTGATTCAACATGGTAAAGCTGTCAATTCTCCCCCAAATTGATCTATATATAGGTTTAATACAATTCCTACCAAAATTCTAACACGGTTTTCCATAGACATAGAAAACTTTTTCTTGGGACATCTGGGTGGTTCAGTGGTTGAGCATTTGCCTTTGGCTCAGGTCGTGATCCCGGGGTCCTGGGTTCGAGTTCTGAATTGGGCTTCCCGCAGGGAGCCTGCTTCTCCCTCTGCCTATGTCTCTGTCTCTCTCTGTGTGTTTCCCATGAATAAATTTTTAAAATCTTAAAAAACTTTTTCTAAACTTCAAACTTATTCTAAAATTTATGTGGAAAGGTAAAGGCTCTAGAATGGCTAAAGCAATCTTGACAAAGAAAAATAAAGTAGGAACAGCCTTCCTGGTTTCAAGACTTCTTATATAGCAACATTGTGATATCAGTAGAAGGATCAACATACGGATCAACAGAACAGAATAGGGAAACCAGAAACAGACATGCACGAATATGCCCAAGTGCTTTTTGACAAGGTGCAAAGGCAATACAATGGAGGAGGAAAGATAGTCTTTTAAACAAATATTGCTAGAGCAATTGTATGTGAAAAATGCAAGAAAAAAATGAACTTTGAATTAGGGGCACCTGGGTGGCTCAACTGGTTAAGCATCTGCTTTCAGCTCAGGTCATGATCCTGGGGTCCTGCTCCAAGGGGAGCCTGTTTCTCCCTCTCACCCGCCCCTCTCCTTACATAGGTGCGTGCTCTCTCTCTCTGTCTCAAATAAATTAATAAAGTATTTTAAACAACAAACCTTGGACTAAAACCTACACCTTTTACAAAAATTAGCTCAAAAATGGATTGCTGGCTTAAATATAAAATGTAAAATTTTTTTTTTTTAATTTTTATTTATTTATGATAGTCACAGAGAGAGAGAGAGAGGCAGAGACACAGGCAGAGGGAGAAGCAGGCTCCATGCACCGGGAGCCCGACGTGGGATTCGATCCCGGGTCTCCAGGATCGCGCCCTGGGCCAAAGGCAGGCGCCAAACCGCTGCGCCACCCAGGGATCCCTAAAATGTAAAATTTTTAGAAAAAAAGAAATAGAAAATCCTCAGGATCTGGGCTAGGCAAAGAGTTCTTAAACTTGACACAAAGAGAAGATCCTTAAAAAGAAAAGTCAATACAATGGACTTAAACAAAAAACTTTCGCTCTTTGAAAGAACCTGTGGAGAAAATGAAAAGATAGCTATAGACTAGGAGAAAATATTTGCAAATTTCTACATATCTGACAAAGGACTAGTATTTGGAATATTAAAAGAGCTCTTAAAACTCAATAATAAGAAATCCATCTAGAAAATGGGCAAAAGGCATGAACAGATATTTCACTGAAGTGCAATATATGGATGGCAAAAAAACATATGAGAAGATGTTTGACATCATTAGCCATCAGGGAAATGCAAATTAATACCACAATGAGATCACTACATATCAGAATGGCTAAAAAAAAAAAAACTAGTGACAAATACCTAATTCTGGTGAGGATGCAGAGTAACTGGATCACATGTACACTGCTGGTGCAAATATATAATGTTACAGCGACTTTGAAAATAGTATAGTAGTTTCTTATAAAATTAATCGTTCAAAGGGCACCTGCATGGCACAGTAAGTTAAGCATCTGACTCGACTTCAATTCAGGTCATGATCTCAGGGTTCTGAGATCAAGCCCCATGTTGGGCTCTGCACTGGGCATGGAACCTGCTTAAGAGTCTCTTTCTTGGGGCACCTGGGTGGTGCAGTCATTTGAGCATCCAACCCCTGGTTTTGGCTCAGGTCATGATCTCCTGCATCGTGGGATTGAGCCCAGCATCTGGCTCTGTGCTTAGTTTCTGCTTGAGTCTCTCTCTCCCTCTCCCTCTGCTACTCCCTCTTTCACCTGCACTCCACCTGCTCTCTCCCTCTAAATACATAAATAAAGCTTTTTTAAAAAAAGAGATTTTCTTTCCTTCTGTCCCTCCTCCTCTCTGAAAACTAAACTAAACTAAATTTTCAAGTACCATACGACGCAGCAATTTCACTCCTGGGCATATATCCCAAAGATATGAAAACTTATGTTCACACAAAAACCTGCTTGAAATTTTATTTACAACAGTAGAAAACTGAAAACAACCCAGATGTCCTTCAATGGGTGAACAATTAAACAAGCTGTGGGACATCCATACGACAGACTACTACTCAGCAATGACAGGAATCAGCTATTGACGCGTGCAACAACTTGCACAGATCTTAAGGGAACTATGTTGTGTGGGAAAAAAGCCAGTATTAAGGGTTACATATTGCATGATTCCATTTATATGACATTCTGAAAATGACAGCATTACAGAGATGGAGAACATAACAGTGACTGCCAGAGGTTAGAGACTGGGGGAGTGGGGTGTAAGGAAGATGAGTGTGACTATAAACGGGCAATGGGGCACTTGGGTGGCTCGGTTGAGCGTCCGACTCTTTGTTTCGGCTCAGGTCATAATCTCAGGGTCTTGAGATCAAGCCCTGTGCTGGGCTCCACGCTCAGTGGGGAGTCTGCTTGAAGATTTTTTCCTTCTGCCCCTCCCCCCATTTACTCTCCGTCTAAAATAAACACATCTTTTAAAAAATCTTTTAAAAAAAGAGCGAGATGAGGGATCCTTGTGGTGACAGAACTACATAGTATTTTGACTGTGTAGGTGCCCACAAACATACACATGGGATAAAACTGCACAGAACTAAATACACAAACAAGTAAAACTGGAGAAATGTGAATAAGATTGGTGAATTATATAATATCAATTTCCTGTTTGTGATAATGAACTGTAGTCTTGCAAAAAGTTACAATGAGGAAAACAGGATAAAGGGGACATGGTATCTCTTTTATTTCTTACAACTGCTTGTGAACCTACAATTATTTCAAAATTAAGTTAATTAAAAAATAAGCCAAGCCACAATACTCCTATAGCTTGCTCTAGGTTCTACAAGTCTGAGATAAGGTTAGGAATATAACCACAGTTCTCAATTCCCAGGTTCTAGATGGGTTCACTTTAAAACTGGATCTTGCAATTGAAAACTGAAAACATTAGCAGAAGTTTCAAATTCATGACACATCCAGATCCCTAAATGATCAGGTCTGTTTTTGTTAGTATATAGTCCCAATTGCTACCACACAGTGCCTGGCATTTAGCTCACAATAAATGTTTTCAAAAATATAAATGAATGAACAAATTAATTCCCAACTGATTGTCTCCCTTTCCTCCCCGCCTATAATCCTCTTCCAATCTACCCACTAGACACGGAAATAGCATGCAACTAACCTTTTTTGTTGTTTTGCGGAACCTTTTCTTTCTGACATTCTTAAGTGGTGGAGTAACTAAAATAAATTCAACATGGTGAAATGCATATATGACTGTTAGTAGTCACATTCTATCTGAATTTGATAAAGAGAAAGGTCATGCTATAAGCCACTGGCTCATGACATGACCTGTTCCTTTAAAAGTGTCTGGATGCCTAATGAACCAAACACCTAAGTGTGGTAACAGGTCCCTGGATCACAAGTAATTAGGATTTAGCAGATAAATGTAGTCAGCCAGAATGAGCAAGGGGCCGGTGACTTACTGCCATGCTTCCAGATATATTTTTTCTGTCTCTCTTTTTCACTTTTCCTGATTGCTTTGAGATCAGTAGAAGTAACTGGTTCTTCCGGAGAAGACTGGAGCTCAGCACCAGGAGTGCACACAAGCATCTAAATTTAACAAAGATAAAGAAATTGACTTTGGGCCACAAATTTTGGATTAGTTATGAATCACAATCATCTTTACTACCAGAAATCCTGGAGCATAGAAATAAGGAGACTGTTAACTTGACGTTTCCAGAAAACCAAGTATTAATATACATGCCTATTCATTCTCTCTGTCTCAGCAGCATTGTATATGGATTCTGGGTTTTGTTTTTGTTTGTTTGTTTTAGTTCAAATTCTTACCACTGCAGAGGAAACATGTTAAAAACAAACATATCTTAGCATTTTGATTTAAAGACAAACAGGAAATCAACAATTAAGATGATGAAAAGAACAAATATAAATTTCCAGAGTCAACAGCATCTTGCTTTAGCAGAAAGTTCAGAAGAAGATCCCAGATCCTCATTTTTTTTCAGGTGAAAAATCATTACAAATGGCAAACATAAACCTTTTTTATCTAAAAGCTATTTGGATAAAATTAAACAGTCAAAAGTTATGGATCAAACACCAAACCAGAACATGCCTTTGTATTCCTGTGCAATTGAGCTGGAATTAGAAATGATAAGCAGCCATTCACCAAGTGGGAAGGAGCACTGAAAGAGAGTAGGGAGAAAGGGACTCCTCAAAGGGTATATGGGCTAGTAGATTAAGAAAACTCATCCATACCTGAGAAATATCTGCTGTTTTATAAAAAGTTTTTTTATCAAGAGTTTTCAGACTTCCAATAACACATGGCAAATCAACCAGCTTTGCGGCTAGTGAGATTTCTTCTACCTCAACAATTGCATGACGTCCATCAGCTGAAGAGAGGTAGGAAAAATTAAAGTTAACATCTTCCCAGTGCATTCCTAAGCTTCCTAGGATTTGAGTAATGAAGACTTAAGTGGGACAGACTAGTCTTTCAGTGAAACCTACTATTTCTCATAATGCTAGAATTGTGTATGTAATTAGTAACTTCCCAGAGAAAAGAAGGCAGGGTATATGTTTATGCTGCTCGATCAAAAGCAGCTAAGTTTCTTTGTAATCACTGTGAACTAAATGAGGATGAAGTGATGTTTCATTCTCCTCCTGAAAGGCAAACTCCATGCAAGCCCATTCATTTTGACACCATTAGAAGCACTCACTTATGTCATTGTACCTGGATATTTTCAAAGGGTCAAGCGAAGAAAGGGTTGATCTCAGAATAGTGCTAGTAAAACTGAAGTTATAATCTCCACAAAGATAAGATTCTACACAATATCCATGCACCGTAGGAATACATATATTCATATACTGACAACTCTGACTCCTGCCCAGATGTCTCAAATATGAATGTCCTTTTTATTTTATTTTTTTGAATGTCCTTTTTAACACAAGAGGATTCAAGTGTAATCTTCTAATATTAAGTGAAAAAGAAAAATGCAGAATGATGTTGGACATGACTCATTTTGTGTCTTTAAATCTTTAAGGAACCTTTAAAGATATAGGCGATTTAAATGTTGGTTGTGCATAAAAATTTTATATGTAAGGAAACAGGAGAAAGTTATTATTAGTTGCCTTTGGCATTAATGCTGGGGCATTGCAAAGGAGAGTTTCACTCTTCTTTTTGAACTTTTGTTTTATTTAAATTTTCTAACTATGAACTTGTATTACCTTTTTAAAAATGTCAATAAGGGCTACCTGAATGATGGTATTATAGGTCATTTTAAATTTTCTTCTTTATGTACTTCTCTGTATTTAAAACACCTAATAAATATCATTCAAAAGAGAAAGATATGTCACTTTCATAAACAAAGAACAGTACATTCATTTGTTATTCCCCTGGACAGTCAGAAGTCACAAAGCTTGTATGTAGGAGACAAAAATCAGGATACAAATTGCATAGTCAATTCCCATGTTTTTCCTTATACATACTATAATAATTACCTCAAATTACATAATTTCTAGTTCCTTTCCTCAAAAAAGAAGATATGAGAATGAGTTAAGCCTCTCTTAGAGTCTTTCAAGGCAGAGACTATATCCTGTTCTTTGCTACACCCTTAGTATCTAGTATAGTGTCTGGCACATGGCAATCCCATAATAAGTTACTGTTCAATGTATGGTAAATGGATATTAACTACTTACAAGATAAGTCAATTTTTAGTTTGTCCTTCATGGCAACACTTCTGGAATGTACTATCTTCCTGACAGTAGATGCATGTTCCTAAAAAGGAGGTAGATTGAAAAATCAGAAGGATGAATTGTCTACTTGGCAACTAATAGATGTGTCACAGACAAGTCCTCTCTTAAATTAAATCTTAAACCTCCCAAATGTTAAGACTAATGCCATGCACTATGACATACTGTGCACTAAGTCAAGTTGGGGTGAGGCTGACTAACCTCATTGTTGTTTCTTAGCTACAGTTAATGCCTTTTTCTTTTTTTTAATGCCTTTTTCTAGCTCTACATTCCTGCGCCTCACTGCTGCCCTTCAGTTGTTGCTAAGGAAAGGCTTAGCTGCAGTTTACTGGGTATATTAAGTAGCTCTAATTGGGAAAATACCTTTTTGAAACCTGTTTTTAATATAGCTTTCTTAGACTAAATACTACTTGAATGCAGGTATCAAAGGGAGAAGAGACACTAACACAATGTTAAGATGAGCTTCAAGAGCCTTGCATGGTGATGAATTTGAGGAAATAGTGATGGTCCCCCTTTAATTGCCCCTTTTGAGGTGACAGAAAGGATTTTAGAAGAGTCTTATCTTGGCTGTCCAGTGAACAGACTGTTAGCACCTCTGGTAAGTGACTGAATCCCTCACTGTCACAGCTGTTTGTCAGGAAATCAGACCACATGATAGGCAGCATGTACAAGATGAAAGAAATTCAGCTAAAAGGGTACACACTAGGATAGGACTGTTTAATAGAACACGATTCCTGGGAAACAAATGTTCTTAGTTTTTATAGCATACCTTAAATAGAAATGCTACAGAATCCAAGCAGAGCTTATATGCAACTGATGAATTATTGAACACTACATCTGAAACTAATGATGTACTATATGTTGGCTAATTGGATTTAAATTAAAAAAGAAAGGATCCAAGCAGAGCTAATACATATGTACTAAAGATATTTGGTCTGAGATACAAGGGTTTCTTACCAGAGGCAGACGCAATATAAACTGGTTCTCAAGTTCGTGAGGAGGTTCATCCTGGGTTTTACTCATCCCTGTTTTTGAGTTCATGAAAGCAAAAACAAAATCGACAGTGACCAAAAACTCATCTTGCTCCCTCTGCTGACCACTTCTGGTAGTACTGGTTACATTATACAAGATCTAGCCCATAATCCTCACTGGAACGATGCCTGCACACCTTAAAGTACCTTATTTGACATAACTTGATTATTTCTAAAAGTCATCTTATATCCCTTCCAATATATATGCACGTTTTCCAAGGATAGCCCAAATTACATGATAACCAATGAAGTAACAGCTGTTAGGAAACATGATTTAGTCGTCTTAATATTCTTAGACCCTTAGGTAAAGGACCACAATTCATCAACACAGTGGTGGCTACTGAAGCAAACTACATGCCTCTATAGGGAAGAGTGCCAACCAAAGGCCAAAATCATCCAAAACCACTGGCAGAAGTGTTCTATGATGATTTGAAGAGAACAGCTTAATTTTTAATATTTCATTCACCTTAATGGATTGGTAGGAATTAAGCTAGTGGGAGAGCAGGTAGCTTTTACAACTCTAAAGTCAGCATCAACGGCTCTGAGCTACCTTGGAGAAAAGTCAGGAGTCCCGTTCTTATGGCTAGGCCAACTATATGAGCACACTTAAGTTCACAGAATAAACCCTTTCTTAAAGGGATAATATGAAATACTATAAAACCCAATTAATGAATTCATTATTAACACTTATTGTGTACATTCTATATGCTAGGAACTTCACTGAGTGCATTTGGTCTGTTATTTCATTTAGTTCTCACAACCACCACTTACTTGAAATACTCCAAAAGTTGTTTAAAGGAATCCTAAGATGGATTCCTTTATTTTAAAAAAAAAAACAAAAACAAAAACAAAAACAAAAAAACAACCTTTTGTAAAGTGAATAATCTCATCAACGTCCATCTTTATTTTTAATCTAATTTCCACCTATTTGGGATATATATGTAAGTGGCTTGCATGTTGGATTTTAGGGCTCACACTGCTGAGGAAATTTTTTCTCACAGGGTGGAAAGAAAGTGCTATACATATATGAAACCTGACAAGGTCTACCTATGCTTTAAGGACATTATGCTATACACCAAGTTATAAAATCTTATACCTTAAATTAGATTAAAATCTCCAGATAGTCACAGCTCCTAATACTCTGTAAACCATTTGAATCTCACTTAAAAGCATTGGAATCGTTTTTAAAAACACATACAAGTGAGTCTGAGACCCTATTATGGTGAAATCATTCACCAGTCCTTTAATATGACTTCAGAAACTACCAGAAACGCATAGAAAGCAAGAGAGAGGTAAGCAGTGGAAAAGGAGACACCCGGGATGAGAGAGATTACTTGTGATAGTCATTTCTTCTCTTCCTGCGTCATAGAATTATATCTATCGATCTATCTATCTATTTATCTAAATACAATACAGAAACTGAACGTAAACATAAGGGAAAAAATAATTAAAATAAATGAAATTAAAAATCTTGGAGCTGGGCACATTGCTTAACAGAATGAAAAGTAGCAAATACAACATTGGGGGCAGAAATACAGATTATTTGAAGAACTAGCTGCTAAGCAAGATTTTATAAAATCAGAAGTAACCTTCAGATCTTTCAGCAGAACTACGAATAGGGCATTTTTGTTCGTTTCAGTACCTTTCTAGCATCTCCTCTCTTAAAGAATTTAAGAGTCGAAAAAATTTCAGAGGAGATGGATAACCCTAGTTGAAATGAGCTTTAATTATTTAAAAATTTGTTACCTTCATTCACCCAATGAACCGGGTTATCGTATTTCTTTTAAGAAAAGGCATCCATTTTCCCCCACTCTTTGATAAGTAATTAAACTAACAGGACTGCTCTCCACCATTCACCCCCAGCGCCGCCTCGTTGCAGCGCAATCAGACCTGGCATTAGAATTATAGCTAGCTAGAGGGTGCCTAACAGCATGCTCCAGGTAGCACAAGTCAGCACAAGCCTAAATTGGTATTTTCTCAAGTTCACAGTCCCTGGCTGCAATCTGGAAGCAATGACCACTCCATCCTTATTCCAGGGGCACTAAGCTTCCAAGGATGAGTCCAGCTCGTAGGATTTGATCCAATTTCTCAGGAAAGCTTCTCGCGGGGCCAAGGGTCCCCAGCCTTCGCGCCTCGCCGTCCAGGCAGGCTTGCGGAGCTAAGTGCGGCGCGCGGGAGCTGGGCGCTGACCCGCCGGGGAACCCTCTGACTGCCCGACTCACCCGCTGCTCGGCTGTGTAGCGCCAGGACCGGAAAGGCTGGGCGGGGGGAACCCGCCTCTCTTCCCTGGGTAGGGGGGCGGGTTCCGGCGAGGGCGTGAGTGGGCTCTCCGGCAGCCGGCGTGGAGGCGGACTGCGGACCCACCGCCTGGCGACAGGTAGGAGCCGCGCGCGCCGACCCTCCCCGCCTAGCCACGCCTCCGCGGCCCGGGCCAACGGGACCGGCGGGTGGCCTCGAGGCGGCGGCCGGTTCACCGCGTGCCCTGCCGGGGCAAGGAAGGCTGGAGAGGCGCTGAGCGCCGCGGGGACCTAACTGAGCAAAGCTTCAAAACAAAGTCCTCTCCTACGGGGCGGGGGGGGGGGCACCTACGGGGCGGGACACGGTGGTATTTGTAAAAGGGGAGGCACGTTTTGTTTGCTCCTCGAATCCGTTAGGTTTTACCGATTTGTCCCTTGGCAAGGCGACCTCGCCTGGTGACAAATACACCGCCACGCAAAGCCACAAAATAACTAGACTCCGTGCCCCAAATACTTTAACTTAATGAACTGCTCTCTTCTTGAGCGAGAGACACTACTGTACACCTTTCAGACGGGGACACGCAAGTGATAAGCACTTATTTCACCTAAAGGGAGCCTCAGTTCAGATAAACTTATGGCGGTTCGCTTCTCTCAAAGAATATCCATAACCTATGAGGAAAAATAAATAAATAAAGCCACTTACCTTTCCCTTCTTGTAAGTTTTCCACAGCAGTTGAGGTAACAACCTGGCTGCCGCTGTCGGCATCAGCTTGGGTGACATGGTCGCCTGGAGTTCGGGTGTCCGGGTGGCTGGCAGTATTGGCGGCCTGGTCGCCAGCGGTTTCAGCTTCGTTGTCGACAGGAATTTGCGGATCTTGTGAGCTCGTTACTTCTGATGTTGAAGCTGTTGGTGTCGAATCATTTTCTAACGGGCGGGGAGGCGGTACCTCAGGGTGCTCCATGGTCTACGCTCCTTGAGGTTGTAAAATGGCTTCCTGTTTAGTCACGTGAGTTTGAAGCTTCCAGAACTTTCATAAAATGATGTCAAAGGTATCCTCCTTAAAGACGTAGGGATAATATTAAGGGACAGCATGGGTGCCTGTTAGAGATGATAGTGGTGAAATCTCTACTGCCTAATATATATCTAAACTTAATCGTAACGGATAAATATTTTTGGAAGACTAATTATTGTACAGTCATTTCTCCTGAATAAGAAAAACCATTTTTTTTTCATTCAGTGAAGCTAAATTATCAAAGTTTCAGATAGGCAGAATTATTTTGGTCCTTTCTGGAATCCATCCACCAATCTTTATATCAAGGGTTATAATACAAAATAGACCAATGAAACTTATTTTTTCATGTAGTACAACATATTCTTAAAGGCATTTGCATCGCAAAATAACTCTTTAATAACTCAAAGGAAAAATTCCATTTTTTTTGGTAACTAAAATAGCTGATCGTGTTTTTAATCATATAGACAATGTGAATTATGTAATTAACTTTCCTTGTGATGGCTGCTAGGAAGCTCAGAACCAATTTTGCAGCCCACCTCTAACAACTGTGAACTTTATTTCCATATGCTGATATCTTTTTTCCTAAGATTTTGTTTATTTATTTGAGAAAGAGACAGAGAACAGGAGGAGGGCAGAGGGAGAGGGACAAGCAGACTCCTTGCTGAGCAAGGAGCCTGATTCCAGGTTATATTCTGGAAATCATGACCAGAGCCAAAGGTAGACACTTAACCAACCGAGCCACCCAGGCACCCTGGTATATACTGATCTTTCTGTTATCTTAAATAACCATATTCTCTCCCAATCCCCTAATTATTTTTATCTTGTGCAGTAACATTGAAAGCTGCTTCAAGACTTTTTTTTTTTTGAATTTTTAAAAGAAATCTCTATACCCATTGTGAGGCTAGAACTCAGGACCCTGAGGTCAGGAGTCTACTGACTGAGCCAGGCAGGAACCCTTCAGAACTTTTTAAAAAAAGGAATCAGAGGGATGCCTTCTGGCTCAGTCAGTAGAGTGTGTGACCCTTGATCTTGGAGGTCCGGAGTTCAAGCGCACTTGGGTGTAGCGATTACTTTAAAAATATTAAAAGAGGGATGCCTGGGTGGTTCAGTCAGTTAAGTGTCTGCCTTCAGCTGGGATCATAATCTCAGGGTCCTGTAATCAAGCCCTGCATCAGGCTCCCTGCTCAGTGGGGAGTCTGCTTCTCCCTTTCCCTCTGCCACTCTCCCTGCTCATTCTCTCTCTAGCTCTCTCTCAAATAAAATCTTTTTAAAAATATTAAAAGAGTCAGATATAAATAGTATATAAAAAAAAATAGCACCCTGACAAAAGTGTCCTGGGAACATCCTATAGGTAGAAGGGTACATAGTAACTGCTCACTTAAAATTCAATCATCTAACAGACGTTAATTGAGAATCTCATTGCCAGATTTGATTTTAAATATTTATTAGATCCTTAAAATATGGTAAAAGTTTCTTGGAAAGAGAAAAAAATTACCCTTAAGATACAGGCATACATTTATGTGATTTTTTTTCCTTTGTTGCCAGATTTCCAACTCCTTCTTCAGGAAGAATGGAATGGGATGTGCAAGAAGGCAAAGGGCATGAAAATTGTGGTTTCTCTTGTTGGGAGAGAGCTGATCCAAGATGTGCCACTGATGTACAGATAAAAACCTATCATATACATATTATAATATTGTCAAATACATACAGATATATTTCTGGGCTCTGGTTTGTCATGTTGCTG